TGTGTAGTAAATGTGAAATTTATCATGTTTTACCTTCTTTTGGTTCCCGAATCGCGATGTTTTGATTTCGAGAGAAACGGGCCAAATAATGTTGTAAAAATTGAAAATAAATATGCCAGTTTACATTATATAAATATATTTTTTTATTTATAACACTTTATCGCACACGAAAATGGTACATTAAAAAAATACAATTAAAGAGATGTGCAAAATGCAAGTGACCTTACCACTAAAAGCGATCTATAGGTAACCGATAGAAAAGGATACAAAAAAATAAGTGAGAAAATAATGTTAAGGTTTCAGTACTTGATTACAATTAGCAAAGAAATATACGAAATATAAATATATAAAATTGCGCTATTTGCTTGGAATCACTTGGTATTTTTTAAGTAATTTAGCTCTTATGGTATATGCATCTTACTACTATAGAAATGCGAAAGTTTAAATGGAGGGATGTTTGTTACTCAATTACGCCGGAACGGCTGAACGGATCTGGATGTTGGACACAGAGACGGACTATAGTCTGGAATAAGTTACTTTTTATCCCGGAAAAATGTACGGTTTCTGTGGGATAGTTTGATTTTTTTTTCACTAGGGACGAACCGCTAGTAAACAATTTTGCTTTTGTTTAATATAAAATAAAAACTAGGAAAATGAAGTAATACTTTTACAAACTCATTTTTTTATTTAACCAATATATGCACAAATATTAGCAATATTTCTTAATGGACATTTTTACGTATAATAAACAAGGAATATCTCTTGCCTTTCTATATTTTAATCACATGAACTTTTAATTACAGTTATAAAAGTGTAAAGTACAAAATTTTGCCAAAGAAACTGTTTGTAAAGTACAAACGTAAACACTTTGTACAATCAAATATATCAATCAAAAAATTAAAAAAGTAAAAATATATATACATACTTAATTTTCGTATTATACTGTATAGCTGTGCCGCTCTGAAGTACACTGCACATGGCGGCGCAATGGTCAATAGTACATCAAACCTTGTTTTAGAGAAGTTATCAAATCGCCAATTAACAAGACTAGAAACTATGACACAGCTTCCGAAAAATTTTAATACGATTTGCGATACACATCTTTTGTATCATCATTGTTTGTCAAGTATAATAATTTAATCTAGTTTCATGAAGTAATATTCCAATACACATCAGATTTATCTTCTCACAAAGGCATTAGGAGATATTTACTTTGATTAAAGCGCCATTCTTGGTCCTATAATAGGAAGGAGGCGGATGATTATGTGACAAATTATAATCAACAATATTATCAGTAGCATTCATCCGCACTCTAGCTTTACAGTGACTAGATTTTCCAGAACATGTCCATATATAGCAAGTTTTGTTTATTCTTGCAAAAGTATAGCCTTCGATCATCATAAGCTGGCCTCCTCGCGAGGACGCTATATACTCATATTTTATTCCTAAAAACACACAATTGATGAATATGTAGTAGATTTAAAATAATATAAATTAGAAAAATAAAAGTTATTACATACGTATATTCACTAATATTAGGTGGGTACCTATATAACAAATATGATGTGCCTTTGTTGATTTTACTCGATTTTTGGTGTCCCAAGAAAGTAGCAGTAGTATAATAAAATATATCGTTTTTATAATATTAGTTTTACATTAAATTATCTTTTAAATAGCAATATAAAAATGTATTCAGCCCTTTTTTTAACGTCCCACTGCTGAGTACGATCCCCCTCGTATTGAAGGGAGACCCCCTTCAATACGCCAAGCCATCAATCAAGCCATAGTCTACCACACTGACCAAGTGTGGGTTGGCGGACTGCACATATCTTTCGAAAACTTGCTAGATTTTCTCAGACATGCAGGTTTTCCTTTACCGTACGACAAGTGGTAATCATGTTGGAATATAATAATACTTGAAAATAATTTAAAATGTAAAATAAATTAAAAAATAGTGTTTCGTAAAAATATACATTTAATTTTATTACGCACTTATAAGTGAAAACTACTTCTATGACAAATTTTACTTCATAACAAACACATTGATTTCCGGAAAATAAAGTAATTTCGTGTAATATTCGATTCTGTGATAAAACTAAACAAACTGATTCATGTCTTGCAACTAATTACAATATAAACGAATAAAACTTTATGTAGAAACTACAATATACATAATATATACTTGTAATATATATTGTAAGTTGGCTAAAAAATATTAACTAAAAATTTATTACAAGCTATTTAAAAACTGGATTAAAAGGATAATCAATAACTAAGGAACGTTACAATGTCTATAATAAAATGAGTGTTTATTTACATAGGTACTAGGTAGGTACATAAATACATATACCGCAGATTTTAAAAATATTTAATTACCCAAAACACAATTCCATTAATGCGTATGGTTCACATTACATCTTATAATATTATTATATTTATCTAAAACAACTCTCGCTGGACACCTTCTTGATTTTCTCTTTGAACAATACCAACATCTAGATTTCCAGCTGTCTGAGAATGTATAATTTTGAAAGAACATTACCCTCCCTCCGTTTGGTGTTGCCATTATATGATATATATGATCTGAAATAAAAAAATATTAATTATAAATAACTCCGTATATATTTATTGCTTATAACACTTGTTATGTCATTTGTCACTGTCTCAATAATGTACTTGTTACGTTCCTTTTCTTTTTCTAGTGCTGATACTGAAAGGGAGCAAAAACGTTTTTGAACGCAAAACAAAACATTTTTATAACTAAAAGTAATATATTTTAATGTCAAATCATCTTTACACACTTTTTAATACTTACACATATTAATATTTGACAAGTATATACATTTTCCATAGGCTATACTTTATTACAATCAAGTTATTATTGAGTATTTATTAAATGGAACAAACAGCATTTTCTAATGAAAACATTTAAATAAAAATTAAAGTTAATTCTCACAGAATCGAGAAGATCAAATCTTAAAAGCTAGAGATCAAACAAAATCCGATTTCAACTTTGTCGTTGGAATAAAATGTAATGATCAACCCCTCGCTATTTACGCTATTTTTTAACTAAAAAATAAATTACAATCTATAATAATAGTATTGCCATTTATAAATGTAATATTATAATATGTAAAAAAAAATTAAACCTAAAAAATGCTAAAACTTTACAATTAAGTTCACACAATTATTATTATCACGTTCACGCTCTATTTACGCGCAAAATTGAATCAAAAAATGTCTTTAAAAAAAAGATAAAATTTATCGCAGTTTCACATACTGTCCATCGGCTTGCCTATACATGGTCGGTGGACCATGATTGTGAAATATATGATAAAACACAATATTCCTGTGATTGTCAAAACGTATTCTGGCTGGGCATTTCTTGGCACTGTTCTTTTTACTACAGTTCCAATAACGAGCGTCAGTTCCCGTCTGGGAAAATAAATAATTGTTAAGAAGCATCATGTATCTTTTCATTTTTACCACCTTGATGAATCTGTATGGTAAACCTGTAATATTAAAGGAGAGTTATCCTAGCTGCTATTGATTTTTATAATAAAATTCTTTAAATGGTTTAGCTGTTATCAATTTACTGCTCGCCTTTTTTATACATAAAAGCTTTATTTAGTTTCATACAAAATTAGTTACAATAAATAATTATTAACAGTAGAAAATTTGAAAATAGCTAGTGTTGTTCTGAATGGACCCTTTCGGGTAAAAGCCTCCTGCAAGGACTTCCATTCTTGTCTGTCCATAGATATGATTTGCCAAATTTAACCCGCTATCGCACCTTCCTCTTTCCATCTGCACATCTGTTTGACAATACTCTAGAGAGAGTAATCTATAGTGATGGAGATTCAACGGATCGTAGAAATCATATACAATGTAATTGTTCTTGACACTAGTAATCTTAACTGCCTAAGTGGTTTAGTGGCTAGCATGTATGGCCAAGGTCATGGGTTCGGGTCCCGAGTCGGGCCAAGTTAAATTACCGAGTTTTTCTGTTAAGATGTTCTCAGTAGTAGTAGCCCAGAGTTAAGAAGTTGGCGGTGTTACACCCCCGTGCCTAGAAGAGCACGTGTCGCGTCGGTCCTGCGCCTTTACTCTCATCGGTCGTGTCGAAGTATCGTCCGATCGGACTTTGAGAGTTAGTCTCAGTGAGATTGACCGCCGTGGCCGAAATCGGTCAAGAGGACATTACATTCTTATCACTACATAAAAATCTAACAATCAAACATTGATAATGTTGTTGTCCTGACCGATTCCAACGACGGTTTCTGACGGCGGCCAATCTCATTGAGACTAGCCAACTGCACAGAGCTATTATAGTGCACAAGTGTACGCGCAGACACAACGTGCACTCTCTATTCCTGTCACTCTCATACTCTGATGGGACGTCCACTCGACACGACCAGTGAGAGTTAAGGCGCAGGACCGACGGCTTTACGTGCTCTCCGAGGCACTGGGGTGAAACACCGCCAACTTCCCAACTCCGGGCTGTTACTGAGGCTTTGATTTATACAGAAAGACTCAATAACTAAACTTGGCCCGACCCGGGCCTCAAACCCAGGACCTCCGGGTGTGCAGCCGTACATGCTAGCTACTACACCACCGAGGCAGTTAATCAAACATTATTCCTATAGTGACAACAACAATGCATGTTCTAGAAATTTATTACTCATATCTCATGAAATTCTTAGACTAGAACTTTAAAGAAAATAGTAGCGAATTACTAGTTTTTGGTGTTTATTCTTATTTAATTTCGATAAAAACTTTTTCTTTTATTTACTTAAAAAATAAAGTTTAATAAACAAATAAAAAAAATCTAATCTATTAAATCTTGTTAAATGAACAATATTAAATCTATTTTATATTGCACAAATAATTCAATACAAGTACAGAAGAGAAGAAGAACTACATGAGTGCAGATAAAATACAACATTCATCAATACGATACAATTATAATTACATCTAAAAGTAGCATTTCTGGAAGATTACTTTAACCTCACATACTGCCCATCACGCTGCTTAAAGAATGTTGGTGGTGAATGATTATGTTCCAAATTATAATAAACTAGGGTCCCATTATTGTCGAATCTTAAACGAGCTGGACATCTTTCTTGACCAAACTTTTTACTGCAGTTCCAATATCTGCAGTCACTTGTAGTTTGGGCGAACGTGTACTTTCGTAGAAGTAGCAATGGTTTCTTCATTTTAACGACACGTATATATTCATAGAACAGCTCTGGAATGGTTGTAGTAGGTTATTAGACTTTATTTAACAATTTAAGGCAAATTTAAATTCTTCTATAAAAATCACAAATAAATATTTTATTTCTAAAGAAATGATGAGTCCAGACCTTCTTGAAAATAAAATCGAGATGAAAGTTTGGTAATTTATTAATTATATCTGTAACAGCAAATTTAATATAATATGTACACTTAATATGTATAAAACATTAAAAATTTTGACATTCTTTGCCGATACTTTACAGTTACATGCAAATGAATTAATCCTGATTTATAATCTATCGCTCTTGAACTAAGAAACTGAGGACCAAATAATTAGAACTAAGGACATGGGTTTTTTATAAATAGATAAACATTGTTCAATCATTCTAAACTATCAATAAGAGCGTCTATACTTAATAACAATTACTTCGACATTTCTGGTCTTTTAAAATCCATATGCACATCTATTTTAAAGTTCCCTAAGACCTAAATAGACATTCTAATTTTTATAAGTTGGTTCAAATTTCCGGGACCATTCAGCTCGTGGCGAGTGGTTATGTTCGAAGGGAAAGCAGACGATCTCAGTACCTTCTTCATTCACACGGACTTTAGCACGACATTTCCTAGATATTCTTCTAGAACAGTACCAATTGTGTGCAGATTTGTTCATTTTAACGAATGTATGTCCTTGCATGAGAAGTACAAGACCACCTCGCGAGGATTCTAGAAACTCGAATGGTCTTTCTGGAAATGTACATATTATTGTTACCATTAGATCATAAAACAAATAATAATAAATAACGCTACATTCAAAGGCTTTCTATCCAAAATCATCCAGACGAGGACAAATATAAGTTACATGGTAAGTCTAAAACAGTCCCTATCCAGAGCAGGACTCGAGCCCATAACCAATAGTGTAAAGTAATTAAAAAAAATATTCTGTCATCAAACTCACCATGAAATACTTAGTGAAACAATTTTGATTCTTGCAAATAATTTAATGTGAAAATGAACTTGTGCTAACTTAACCGTAGTGCTGATTTAAGTACATAACATTATTAAAAAATATTGTTTACAATACATTTTGTTCTAAAATATAACACAAACTAATGCGAGCCCTAAATAAATTAGCGTGCAATTGAAGTATGTTTTCGGATCGGATATTTAAAGTTTTAAAATTATAATCAGCTTTGTAACGTGTAATATTCAGCTAGAATCAAACGATATAAAATGAATGGAACATATGTCTCTAGGTGAAAAGCCTGTGATATATTCATCTTGTGACTTTCAGATGATTTTTGGACTAATATATACATTTTACATAGTATATGTATAGTAAGTGAAAATGAAAAAATGAAATCTAGAGGCACAATATTGTATTTAAATGCTTAATTTCTCCAAATACAGAATATCACCTAAAATCACCAGAAAATGACCATCTCGCACAGCGCAGTGGTATTTGTAACTTACACATCTGAGTTTAATTGCCATTTCGATTATTTTTCATCGTTTTCAATCATTCAGAGCTTTCACAATCGAAGATAAATCGCATAGATTTCAATTTTCATTTTTTTTTTACTTTAAGCGGTTATCTGAATAACCAACCCTCTTTGACTTTATGAAAAAAAAAACAAATAATGAAATTACTTCAGTTGCTCTACCTTTTTGGTATAGAATATTAGAAAGTATTAATTATCGTAACCATTACCTATATATATCTAATTAATTTAAACAATATCAATTATAGTCATTAATATAAATGTTGCGAGGCATTTTCACAAACAGCCCGCTGGCTGTCTTACGATACAACGTCGGCGGGTGGGTGTGGTATGTGTCTGCGTAAATTATCCTTTTATCTTTGTCCATTTTCAGATACGCTCCACATTGCATGCTCACTTTTCTAGAACATTGAAGTTTTCTAGCACCTTTCATGTGAAATGAATAAGAGTAGTTTTGAAATAGAACGACCGACTTTTTCCCTCCTAAAGGTAACACAGCGTAATCCATACCTGAAAATTATAATAGTTTTAGCCAAGTTTCATATAAAACTAGGAATTTGAACAAACTAGACTATGTTGCAGTAAATCTTAGAACATATATATTTAAAAAAAATGTTTATAAACTTTATTTTTTAAAATACACATTTAATATTCTCCATTAAACTTATAAACATAAAACAAGTAATAATAACTTAAATCAGTAGAACTTCAATATATTTATCTCAACAAAAAATCTCAGACGAAAATACCAGTGTCTAAAAACATATAAATTTTGTACATCACTTCTCATTTTAGAATTGATATTTTGTCCAAATCCAATCATGAATCACTGTGATTTGAAATACAGTGGATTAACTCTTATTATGGACCCATCTGGTCCCCTTTCTACTAACGGTGGGGGGTGGTTATGTCCTAGAAACCATACATCAATAATATTATCTTTGAACCCAAGTCTCGCTTTACAACCACCTTTGCTTTTTCTAGAGCAATAATAGGTGTTCGGATTGCCGCCTTGAACAGAAAATGAGTACCCATCAACAACGATAAGATTGTATTTGCCTTTACTCGATGGAAGTATTTCATATTGAATGTGATCTGAAAATGAACAGTATTTGCATTATCTTTCAAAGTATATAATACAAAATAAAATAAAAATATAAGTATTTGACATAAATATATAGGCAATTTTTGAAAAATATTATTTTATTCTCATCAGTTATCACACAATAAATTAAGACTAACATGCCTTAATGTTGAAGCATTATTTAGTAAGAAATACATGGTAATTGACTTCAATCAAAACTATTTACTTATATAAACAAGTGTCCTCCGAGGGATCAAAATTCGACCATAATTCATTATTTAAAATTTGCGGAAAACATATATGAAGAGTATTAAACTATCTATATAAAAAGGTCACTGTTCCATTATTTTTTTATGGATAACACTAAAGGCCGTCAATAGCTGCTAAACATAAAGAAAGAAAATCGCTTAGCAGAGGAGAAAAAGATAAGCTGTTTTGTCTTTGGCTATTTATATATAGATATATATATATATATACATATGTATATAACTTTATATATTCTTAGATATATACATTAGTTATACACATTAAAAAACATAAATTACAGATATTAAGAGAAAATTGAAGGCAAAGGTGGACTTATCTCTAAAAGAGATCAAGTCAACCTAGGAGGTGAGAAAAATTGTCATTTAGCGGAGCAGAAAAGTGCAAGGTAACATGGAAATAATGTTAAAAAAAAGAAATCCCAGTATATATAAAAATAACACAGTACATGTAGTCTTAGTATAATAAATAACACAAACAGACAAGTATATAAAATACATACATAGCATTAATAATTATAAAAATATACATACAATACATATAATTACTTATAAAAAAATGTTGATGACTACTAAGTCGTAACTTCAGATAGAAAATGTTCTAGACGATATTTAAAAACTTTACCCAAATGATAATTCGCTGTATAAACCAAATGCCTTAAAAACAAATTAATTACTAGTTCGATGATTTTCGAAGAAATAATACAGAAATAAAAATAACACAAAAATGTACTTATTATTATCTTATACCTATATACATATCAATATCGAAACAAGAAGTAAAGTCTCTTGTCATAAAATTTAAATTAATGGATGGACTATTCATTTTGAGTTACAGATTAATAATGGAACAAATATTTTAATTATTAAAATTTAAGGAAATTCATTAAGTAAAAACTCAGATCTACAAAGAGACAATAACTCTACAGGCTACAAACAAAAACAATCATAAAACCATCGCCATATTGTAGGTACATAGAAAGTCACATTAAGCACATTCTACAATCGTTGTCTCTTGTAGATATCTGACAGAAATTAATAAAACTATTATCGTGTCGTCATTTCTATTAGTGATATCAATTAGAAAAACTCATTTTTTCTATTCGGGCTATTGAAACAACCTTCTCAGTGTTAGGAGAAATCTTTAAAATTTTATGACAATATCTAGCGATTTAGTACTAATAATACTTTAGATTAAAGAAACAACTAAACACCCCTCGATTTTGTATTAAGGTACTTGTAAATAAAATAATTTACAATATCTACACAAGTTTGTTGTTTTTTTCTAACAATATAATACTTTTTTCTAACTACATTTATCTTAGTACTATATACATAATACGTATATACATATATGTAAGTAGTAAGTACAAAGAAGACTGTACAACATGACTTGTTTCTAATTAGAAACTGCCTTAAAAATATTGCAGATTCAATTTCTACACAATAATTAAGGTTTTTTTCATGTATAGGTAAGATTATCAAAAAACGCTAAATGAAAAACGAAAATAGCACACATGTTGTTAATTTTTTTTTTCTATTTCACAAAAGATAAGTTATAAAATAATAAGTTACATTTTATTTACATTGTAATAGAGTTCCCAAAAGTTTAAAAAATATATTAAAATAATTAAATATTATTTATGCATTTCAAAAAAACACTGCATGCATAAGGTTTTATTGCAAGTCGTGCACGCAGTTTTGACCTTTTTAGTTTTATTGTGTGCTTGCTGACTCGGCAGACTTTGTCGCCACTTAGCGTAACAATTTGCGCATTTCCTCTTTTTGTTCCCTAGTTGAAGACCGTGACTTATTTTCAATTCAGTAACATTTTTTCCTGAGAAGTATGAAGTATATTATAAGTCTATATTGTAAAAGAAATTTATAACAAAAAAAAAATAGAATCTTATTATATTAACGTATCGTATCGCAGCAAATAATAATATTCTTAATCAACAGCCAACCACATACAAAACAAAAAACTTATAAACTAAACATAAACATCGAATAATATTCCAAAGATTACCTACTTTTGATCATTCGCATAAAAATTAAACAAATGGGAAAATAAAGCTATCTTTTATTTATCTAAATCGACAATATTTAATAATTTAATATTCACAAGCATCAAATAACGTAATAACATACTATTAAATATATAAAATTAACTTTTCTGTTAATATGATAATATTTTTTATTACCTTTTATACTTATAGTAGTAACTTACCCGTCTAGTCGCTTGAGTACGTCCCTAAGTGCTTAATAGTAGTAGTCGTAAAGTGTACTCATCATAGAATAACTGTGTATTAAATAAACCTCATCCAAATCCTTTCATGTACAAATAAATTTTTGCATTTGTAATAGTAATGTGATTAGTTTTACCTTTCTAGTTCTAGATTTCTAACGCAAAACGCAAACAGAAATGTAAACAAAAAATAACAAACTTTTAAGTTGAACACTATCAAATAATAACTAAATTAAATTAAAAATTAAAAAAAAAACCCGACATGTAGTTCGCCATTTTGTGGTGGCCATCTTGGATTTGAAATTTATCAAAGTGTATTGAGGGAGTTGTGAAAAATATGTAATCCGCCATTTTGTGGCGGCAGCCATCTTGGATCGATTTTCATCAAACATAGAGAAGAACAATTCCGACTAATTTACCTTTCAAACAAAAAACACCTACACGTCGGAGGCGGGAATAAACTTGTCGTCTCGTTGCACCGTCAAATCATTTCTAAATCAATAATAAGAGCCGTTCGGATAATCAAGATTCTACTGTACTTTGTAATACAATCCGTTTTTGGTCTTGTGATAGACCGGCGGTGGGTGAATGTGTGTGTAGTAGCCACCGATAACGTAACCTTCGTCGTCGATTACCAGTTTAGCATTACATTTTCCGCGAAATTTTCTAGAACATCGCAAATGTCGCTTATCATTTATGTATGAGAACGTATAATTTCTAAACATCAGCACATCGCCACGAAGAGTTGGCAGAACTTGTAATTTTTCTGAAAACAAAATTTGGAAGTAAATTAAAACAATAAATGGGTGTTAATTTAAACAATTGCTTTTGGGTAGCATGCACCGAAAAAACAATTATTTTAAGATAGAAAAAAAGGAAGGAGAATAGACAGGGATACATTAAATCTTTTTATTGATATCTGTAAGATTCCTGATACAATTCTCTAATTAAATAGTTTGAAAAATATCTTTATTAATATATTAAATATGAGTTTATTTGATGAAAAAGAGATAAAATTGAATACACATAATAAAAATCATATTTGATTATTCCAATCTCATTGAGACTAGCCAACTGCGCAAGAGATATTATAGTGCAGCTCGTGAGAGAGAGAGCGCAGACACAAGTGCACTCTCTAGTTCTGTCACTCTTTACTCCGGTGGGATGACCACGCGACACGACCGGTGAGAATTAAGGTGCAGGACCGATGGCTTTACGTGCTCTCCGAGACAGGGGGGTGAAACATCGCCAACTTTTCAACTCCGGGCTGTTACTAAGGCTTACTATACAGAACGACTCCTAACTAAACTTGGCTCGACCCGGAACTCGAACCCAGGACCTCCGGGTGCAGCCGTACATGCTAGCCACTACACCATCGAGGCAGTTAAATTTGTAATAGTAATGTGATGAGTCTTTCCCATACGAACCGAGTCCGCTCGAGAAGCTCAATAATGATGTCTCATAATAAAAAAACATTATAATTTATAACACTTAGATGTAATCAGAAAACAGTCGAGATTTCTATACATATTCTAGGCAATCAACTAATACTGAATAGGAGAAAGTCACAAAACTATATCAGCAAATTAATATTTCACAATTTATTCCTTTACAAAAAATATAATAGGGGCCGTTCATAAGGGGGAGGGAAACTTGCTGAGTGTGACAAGATGTTACAAGGGGGGACGGGGGGGGTCTAGGGCAATACGGCAATTTGTGTACTATCATTTGAAATTTATCATACCCATTGTCAGAGTTTTTGTGACGAAATATTTCTAGGAGATCACAGAAAGTGTGACACAGCGTGAAAATAGGGGGGATAGAGTAAAAAAAAGCTGATTTTTGCGTGACGTATTTCATGAACAGCCCCATAACGTTTCCATTCACATTTCTTTATTTTGCAAATAGGTCTATTTTAGATAGTAAAAACTATACTACTTTCCAATACAATCCATTTTTGGTCTTGTGATAGACCGGCGGTGGGTGACAGTGCGTGTAGTAGCCGCCGATAACGTAACCTTCGTCGTCGATTAACAGCTTGGCATTACATTTTCCGCGAAAATTTCTAGAACATCGCAAATGTCGCTTATCATGAATGTATGAGAACGTATAATTTCTAAACATCAGCACATCGCCACGATGAGTTGGCAGAACTTGTATTTTGTCTGAAACTATAAAATTTTGAAAGTAATATTAAATTAGGGTATCATGCACCTAAAAACCTACACTTTAAGTATCTACCACTTTGTATTTGATGTCAATTAATGTAAGATAGAAAAAAAATGGGGGCATGTAACCTTTACTAGTAGTAAAACTTCTTTGGCAAATATCGCAATTAAATTGAAACAAATCCATTTAAATCCAATCCAATCAATTTAAATTCAAATCCAAGCCTTATTTAATTAATAAGGCGTATTAGGCGTTTTACAATCATATATTTATAGAATATCATAATATACGGAAAGAATATAATATTATATATTTGTCAGATAATAACAACGATTACCATGGCAACTAATTCAAACATTAATTAATTATACAATATACCTACAATATGTTAAATTAAAATATTCTTTAATAATTAAAATCATATTTGATTATTCTAATCACATTTTATGTAAACCTATCTTTAAAATACAATCCATCTTTGGCTTTATGATACACCGGTGGTGGGTGATTGTGATTGTAGTAACCTCCAATAACATAACCTTCGTCGTCGACTTTGAGTTTAGCTTTACATTTTCCCCGCAACTTTTTTGAGCAGAGCAATCGTTTACGAGAATTTGTATATGAGAATGTGTAATTTCTAAACATCAGTACACCACCACGTGCAGTTGGTAGAGCATGTATTTTTTCTAGAAACACAAAAATGACAGCAAATTGAAAATAATAGGTAAACGTATTATTGCTTTACTACGTAATAAGTTTTGTTATGTTTAAAGCTATCGAGGCTTCTTTGATTTTTGAGCATTGAAAATATCACGTAATAGTGATTTTTGTATCAAACTAATTGTATATTTAAAATATTTTTCATAAATAATAAAAGCTATTCAAATATTTAATTATTTTAATTACAATAAACACACACTCTTCTTAAATTAGAAATAAAGGTAAGATTGAAGATGAAATAATTATCACATACATTTGTACGTATACTTATTTCCCTAAATAAAATTTGACTTTATATGTCTTTTAATGTGCAATTATTGCATGTAATTTGTTACATATGAAAAGCTTAAGATAATAAAACTGTCCGACTAAAGCTAAAATATTTTTTTAAACGTTCAATAATATTTCAAAAACAATCTACCCAGGTATCCCATACGCCGTTTAATTAACCTGTTTGTTTGTTTTATAACTACTTTAAGAATTTTAAAACTACCAAAATCGATACTTGCAATTAGTAGAGTACTCCAGGAATCGAATGTACTAATAATTTACTGTCAAGAGTCACTTATTCTATTATTTTTAACGATTTATATATTTAAAAACATGTGTCATGCACAAGTAATTGTTTTATCTAAAGCTAAACTTTTATCTAAATGACTTTTTTTCATAACATTACACAATTTTGACAGAAGAAAAGACGTGTCCACTTATACATACATTTCTTTTGGAGAAATTGTTCGATTTGTTACATATATGTACATTTTAAGATAATAAAACTATTGATTTAAGTAGAAAGAAAACTAAAACTTTAGTAATAATTTAAATGAACAAAAAGATTGATCTGGAATATAAAACACAAGTTTTTATAATAATAATTAATTAATCTATGATGACACTTAATCTATGAAAACTACCAACATCAAAACTGCTGATAATTCCAGCTAATGTACTAACATACTATAAGTGATTTATTCCGTTTTCTTACCGTTTTTAATTTCGAGAACAAACACGCACAAGAAATTCTACTAAACGATTAGTATCTAAATAACATCAATCATGCAAAAAATTACACAGTGAAATTTCGCTGTTCATAATAAACCCCATTTTTACACGTGTAGTATACGGGTGGGGGGTGATTATGATTACCATTAGCTCGCACGATATTTCCTTCAGCATCTACCACCAGCCTTGCATTACATTTGAGACTCCGATATCTTGAACAACAAAGGTACCGTTTATCACTTTCATATTTGTACGTATAATTTTTATACATTGGCAAGTTTCTACGTGGAGTCTGCAAATACTGTAGTTTTTCTGTAAATTTAAATGCATGATGAGTTTGTTTTGTGTTCATTTACCAATAAAAAATAATCATTCCACTAAAACTATGTAGAAATAAGTAACATGTTAGTATTTTTTATACCTTAAAGTTTAGACAAAGTGTATGAAAACATATTAAAAAAAATAATAATTATTATGTATATCATTCCATATAGGAAGGAAAAGGAATCGTTATGTAAATATTTAAAAATAAGATTGGTTGTTAAAAATTTTTATTAAATATTTTCCATATATTTTATGGGAGCCTAGTTAGTCCAGTTTCGTCTAAAGTAAGGTTTTCTGCACTATACTCGTATTATATACTTAATCTAGATTTGAACTATTTTTTAAACATAATTATCTTTATATAATATAAAATTCCGGTGTGCGTGTGTGTATTTCTTCTTCGTCTAAACGGCTGATTTTAAATTGTTTTTATGTAGGTACTTATGGCTCTTTGTTATAATTGAATCCGATATGTAGCACTCTTAACAGCCAAAAATATGATTTGTGTTTTCCGACCATACTTTCAATATTTCGTCTACATTTCTCACATAATAACATATAATCCCAAACTTAATTTCAGCTTCCCTTACTATAAATAATTCCACCGAGGTCAGTGGCAGGACAATGCCAGCCTACCAAGCCCACTTATATTATTATACTTAGGATATTTTCACTAACATGCCGGACTTAGTTGTATGAAAAACAGGAGGCGGATGATTATGTTCATACTGTCCCCCTAAAACATAGCCATTACTATCCACCACCAATTTCGCACAACATTTGCCTCTTAGCGATCTGGAACAGCGAAGGTGTCGTTTATTTTTCAAATTTTCATAAGAGTATGTGTAATTTCTATACATTAGTACTTCGCCACGACTGGTTTGGAAGGATTTAACTTTTTCTGTGAAAATATGATAATAGATTACGTTAATTTTAATGTAGGAACTGGTCTCGTAACTGTGTCGCTCTAAAACTCTGTGCCTAACATCTGTGAACTGTGATGCTGTTCACACTGACGTGCTCCACGGTTACGAGTATAATTCAAATATTATTAATAAAAATAAAATATAATACAAATAATAATACAAATATTGTAATTAAAATCGTTTATTAATAAATATTTTTTCCTTTGTAAGTTCATACTTCCGCTATTTGATTAGATGAAAGAAGGATATCACATCATGGAGTAGGCTGTAAATAACTTATATATTTCATATATTAGGACATCTCTATATATTCTTTATATCTACATATTATACTATATTCGGAAGTAAGAAGCTCTTGAACTAGGCACTTATAGAGTTGAATAAGTACAAGCTCTTGAAATCCGAAAACTTTTTACTTTTTGTTGAGAGTTCAAAAACATAAGACAAAAGCTCAATTCAGACTGAATTTCCAATACACATATTTGCGGACTTCCAAGACTGCACAATGAACAATCAACACGTAATAAAACTACAAGCGTCATTGTTCAAATTTTTCTTCTTTTTTTGAATGCTTATTTGTTTTTCTGTGCCTTTCAATATCATTCATGCCCCCATGAGCTATACTCAATGCTCGACTACACAATTTGCAAAACACTTTATCCTTTCGCTCTACACGCTCTATCCAAGGATACTCATCTGTCTACGAATCTCTGAAGGTACACATCCGTTTTTCTTTCTTCTCTATAGCAGTAATCTTAAATATTTTGAAAAATTATTATATTAAACCTATAGAATTAAAATAAACTATTAAAGGTGTAATTTCTACACTTTGTTTAACTGTAGTTATTAACATGAAGTACTTTACTATTTTGTGTAAAAACAAATATTTAAAAGTCTAATCAATACATAAAGCAAAAAATACAATAATATTTCATATACATATATAATAAGTATTTATATTAACAACTCATATTTTGATATGGAAACGATCGTTTGAACCAAAGATCGTCAATATTTGTGATATAAAAGTATTAAAGATGAAAATAACAAAGTACTACTGCAATTTTTTAATCAATCCACTAATACGATCAAGCCTAGCTATAAATAAAAACTTAAAAAAACGACTTCCAGGCACTAAAATGTAAAGAATAACTAAACGGGGGTGTTCATTTAGAATAGATACCTAATCAGATATTTTCGAAGTCGGTGCCAGCCGATGTAAAGCAAATCTATTTGGATACGTAAAATAACTTTAATTATTAATTAGCGTTCACACCTAATCATATTTACCTATTTACCTATTAGATTTCCTATCTTAAAATATTGTCGGCTTGGTCGGTTAAAAAGGACTATACAATTTCATAAAATTATATTCCTATGAAGCTTTTTGGACTGAAACTGTAAAATATAAACCGTAACCAAAAGTTTAATGATTAACATTAGTATTAGGATAACGAAGTGGTTAACCGCAATAATAAACTTAATTTTAATATTCAATTTATATGGATTCTATATTTACAACATCGCGCTTAGATTATATTTTATATCACTACATTAAATTTTTTTTTTTTGTTTAATTTTTATTAAAACTTAAATCATAAACATCTAGATAAGTAATTAATTTACACAAAAAATACAACACATAAGATTCTTCAGACCTACAGCTATAAATAATTAATTTTAAATAATTTAATTTTATTATATACCAGTACATATACTTCAATAAAGATTATTTATTCTATTAGATGTTATAAATTATCCTACATGTTAAAACTAAAATCTAATATATAAATATCTCGTGCCACGGTGTTTGTGGTCGCACTTCGCCGAAATTGCTCGACTGATTTAAATGATTTTTTTTGTAAATTTGGTAAATATGAGATTAGGTCGTAAAGTATTTTTCACCTTCTATCCCACCCACAATTTTTTAATCGCGATTTTAGAATAAATAATCTATACTAATGTTATAAAGTGGTAAAGTTTGTAAGTTTGTGACGTTGTAGGGGGTAATCTCTGGATCTACTGAACCGATTTATATGAAATTTGGTAAGAAGATAGTTGAAATCCTGGGAAGGACATAGGTTACTTTTTATTCCGGAAATCATCCTTACAGGGGGTAAAAATGGGGATAAAAGTTTGTATTGGGAAGCAAGCTAGGGAAGAACCCGAGCGAAGCGAGGGTAAGTCGCTAGTATTATATAAATATACTAGCGGACCCGACAGACGTTGTCCTGTCTACACGTCTTTAATTTGAAAATTTCAAACTTTTTTTAATAATTTTTTTGATGAAAATTATTATTCAAATTGTGAATCTAAACCATTCCCAGATCCCCTTGAACACACGCAAAAAATTTCATCAAAATCGGTCGTCGTTTGAGAGAAGTTCAGTGACATACACACTCACAGAAGAATTATATATATAAAGATAGCGACGAACCTGAGCGAAGCGAGGGTGAGTCGCTGTATAACATAAAACCAAAGAGTTTTTTTGCTAGTAATTTTATGATATTTTCACATAAGTGCCATTAGGACATTTCTGGAAATGCGGCGGTTGGTGGTTGTGATCAGTGAAAGCTGCAAAAATAACGCCCTTTTCGTTCAATCGAAATCGCGCTGTGCACTTCATACTGTATTTCTTCGAACAATATAAGTAACGCTTTTTACTCCATTGTGTGTTTTTGTAGGAAAATGTGTAATTTTTGTACATTATTAATCTCCTATTACCTGGCAGATTCATTACTTCATAGTCTAAAATATTAAACAAAACAATTAGATAATAATACACTAAAGTATACAAATGTATAATAAAATATATATTATCTGATAAAAAAACACTATATTTTCGTATGTTCTTATTTCTAGAAATCCTTTCATCATTCTAAATAGTAATAAAACTCAGTATTGAGTCGAAATTTTATATTCAGTTATTATAAACGTTTGCCTAATACACAATAATTATATTTTTTTACGTACATTATTTTATTCATTTTTATGACTTCCAGGGTCACTTGGACCAGAGGTCAAAAATTAGCATAAAGAACTCACCGAGATTTAGAGATTTGAAATAATTTCACAAATCATTCTGCAGTCGAAAAAATCTAATATAAGGTAAAAGATAAGCCGAAAGATACATTTTGGCCACTTTATACAAACATAAGTAATAAAAAAGTACAAATCATTTTTTTTAAATAACTCAAGTGGAATATCTGTAACATTATAATTAAAAAAAATCTCTACCTATAGAATTAAAATGAATTATTAAAGGTATACCTTTAAACAAAGTATCGAAATTATAATATATAATATAAATTATAATTTCGATACTTTGTTTACCTATATTTTAAATGAAGTAGTTTGTTTAAAAACAAATATTTAAAAGACTTACCAAAACAAAGTTAACAATATAATAATATTTCATATACATATATAATAAGTATTTATATTAACAACTCATATTTTGATATGGAAAAGACCGTTTGAACCAAAGATCGTCAATATTTGTGATATAAAAGTATTAAACATGAAAATAACAAAGTAGTACTGCGAATTTTAAATCAATCCATTAATACGATCAAGCCTTTAGTTATAAATAAAAACGTAAAAAAACCAACTTCCAGGCACTAAAATGTAAAAAATAACTAAACGGGGGTTTTCATTTAGAATAGATACCTAATCAGATATTTTCGAAGTCAGTGCCAGCCGATGCAAACAAATCTATACATATAATAAAATTCTAACTGAGTCGAATCCGTACGTTAAATATTTTTTGGAAAATCTTATTGAAATAATCATTATTGTCGATACAGAGGCCGAATCTATAGTTTTTTGAATTTTTGTCTGTCTGTGTGTGACCGCATCACTAGAAAAACACTGGACAGATTTTGATAAAATTTGGTATCATTTATATGATCATGATAGCTGATTATGCGGATCAACGTATAGGATACTTCTTAAAGTGGGGAAAATATCTCATCTCTGAGAAATCTATAGTAAACGTTAAAACTTAACTAGGGATAAACCCGAGCGGAGCGAGGGTGAGTCGCTAGTCTAGTATATTTCGATACGTAAAATACATCACAAATTGACGTATAATATTTTAACTATAATTAGCTTTCATACCTATTATCATATTTACTCCTATTATCATTTATAGATATTCATATTTTAAAAAATTGTCGGCTTGGTCGGTTAAAAAGGACTATACAATTTCATAAAATTATATTCCTATGAAGCTTTTTGGACTGAAACATAAACCGTAACCAAAAGTTTAATGATTAATATTAGTATTAGGATAATGAAGTGGTTAACCGCAATTTCAAACTTAATTTAAATATTGAATTATTATGATTATATATTTACAACATCGCATTTAGATTATATTTTATATCACTATATTAATTAATTATCAATTTTTTTTTGCTTAATTTTTATTAAAAGTTAAATCATAAACATCTAGATAAATTAATTTACACAAAAAATACAACACATAAGATTCTTCAGACCTACAGCTATAAAGTATTAATTTTATATTCATTTAATTTTATTATATACCAGTACATATACTTCAATAAAGATTATTTATTCTATTAGGTATTATAAATTATCCTACATGTTAAGACTAAATGCTAATATATTAAATATCTCGTGCTACGGTGTTTGTGGTCGCACTCCGCCGAAACGGCTCGACTGATTTTAATGATTTTTTTTTGTCAATTTGGTTAATATGAGATTAGGTCGTAAAGTATTTTTCACCCTCGTACCCCACTCTCCATTTTTTAATCGCAATTTTAGTATGGATAATATAATATAAATACATACCAACGAACCTGAGCGAAGCAAGGGTGAGTAGTCGCTGTATAATATAAAACCAAAGAGTTTTTTGTTGATTAAACACGGGCATAGCCGCGGGTTCTGTTAGTTATATTATGATATTTTCACATAAGTGCCATTAGAACATTTCTGAAAATGCGGCGGTTGGTGGTTGTGATCAGTGAAAGCTGCAAAAATAGCGCCCTTTTCGTTCAATCGCAATCGCGCTGTGCACTTCATACTGTATTTCTTCGAACAATATAGGTAACGCTTTTTATTCCATTGTGTGCCTTGGTAGGAAAATGTGTAATTTTTGTACATTATTAATCTCCTATTACCTGGCAGATTCATTACTTCATAGTCTAAAATATTAAACAAAACAAATAGATAATAATACACTAAAGTATACAAATGTATAGTAAAATATATACTATCTGATAAAAAAACAACATATTTTCGTTCTTTCTTATTTCTAGAAATCCTTTCATCATTCTAAATAGTAGTAAAACTCAGTATTAAGTCAAAATTTTATATTCAGTTATTATAAACGTTTGCCTATTAACCTTTTTAATTTAATTACACAATAAGTATAATTTTTTAAGTAGATTATTTTACTTTAAGGGTCACTTGGACCAGAAGGTCCAAAAATTAGCATAAAGAACTCACCGAGATTTAGAGATTTGAAATAATTTCCTTAATAATTATTATATTTATATCACAAATCATTCTGATTCTGAAAGATACATTTTGGCCACTTTATACAAACATAAGTATTGAAAAAGTACAAATCAAATTTAAAAATATATAACTCAACTGGAATATCTATAACAGTATAATTATACTAAAATCTATTATTTATAACTATCTACATTGACTTTTTATTGGGTATAAATGAACTAAGGATACCGGTGACTCGATCAAGTGGGTTTATCTCTTCGTTAGACCTTACTTGGAATCTTTCTGGATTCTGTTGCCTGTACCGTTTGTAGTAGCGCAGAAAATCTGCTTCAGTGAAAAGGTCATCTGAGATAAAAATAGATAATTATTAGTAATAACTTAATATTACAGTTTTAAATAAAACTATCTGTTCGGATTTTTTCGTGGATTTATTTTAATTTTTAACGTTTCGAATGCTTTACAGCAATCATGGTCACGGGAGAGAATAACTCTAGTCTAAAAAAGATAGTTTAATGTAAAATGTCAAGTATTCGCGTCAATCTAAGAGAGTATTAATATTACTCTTTGGTTTGTTTCTATTGTACAGCATATACGAGTATATTGTATATTTATTAGTATGTACACGCAGTTACTAGTTATTTGTGTTAGGTACTCGTATGTAATATGTTTTAGGATTTAAATATATATATATATATATATATATATATATATATATATATATATATATATATATATATATATACTATTAAATCCTCTCACTAAAGGTTGTCTGTTTTTGGTAGAGAATATTTTTAATTAATATTAAAAATAAAAACTGACAACCTTTTCGCCTTATACATATATTTTGTCAAACAATACTTGTTCCAATTTTCTTTTCTTCTAAAAAAATACAAAAAGTAAATGAATATTAAATATCCTGATTATAGTTGTTATATGTACCTATCTATATTAATAAAATATTTATTTATATAAAGTCACAAGAATATAGGTTCGGCAAAAATTAATTAAAATAAGTTAAACATTTATTATTCTTATACTTTAAAACAAATTATAATACATACGAAATAAATAATATGTTCTAGTAAATTATCTGTTAATGAAATAACACTATTCAACAGACGTGACAAATAACAGAAAATTAGCTTTAACTGAATAAAATAACAAAACATGCTAATTATTTTAAAAAGGAAAGTCTTATTGTTGTATCATTTATCAATTTTCTATATCATAATATATTTCATATAGCTGACATGAGAATACTGTTAGTTAATTATTCTTGACTTCCAATAGCCTAATAATACATTATATGACAAGTGTCATCTTTATATAATTATCTCATGAACGAATTGTGGTTAATTCGTTCATGAACTATCTATAGAATAAACCCTAAAGCCGAATCACAAATGTAAGTCGAAATACCACCAAAAACCCAGATAGGTACTACATCGCGTAAGTATCATGCATATTTTCGTATACAGTTCAAACGTATCAAGACGCTCGACTCGCATTTTTAGTCTAACCTTAAATATTTGCCATTAGCTAACTTCTTCAAAGTCGGCGGCCGGTGATTGTGATCCGTGTACGCTGCACTTATATATCCAAATCTGTCTAAGTTCACCCTTGCCGAACATTTTCCAGTCATTCTCTTTGAACAATACAAGTAACGTTTCACGTTTTTCCGCCCTTGGAAGGAGAATGTGTAATTCTTGTACAAAATCACGGACTTATTCTCGCTCCCAATTAACTGGATTTCTTCCAAGCCTAAAATATATTTTTTATTATTTTCCAACTATTATTTAGTAATAATTTAAAATAAGGAAGATTTATTTATGTTGTAAATATATAATTGTCTTGTCAATTATAGCTAAAATATGCAATAAATATGCATTATTTTCTAACTACTTGTTTAGCAAAAGTTCTTATAAGTATTTTTTTGAATTGTGTAAACTATGAACGAAGGAAAGAAAAATGAATAGATAGGTGTAAAGATATAGTTCAAGAACCGGTCGATACAGTTTTATTACTGCAGGTGCTTAGAAAATGTACTTCGAAATTAAATTAAACTAAAACTTTAAGCTTATTGTCTTTGAAGGTTGACTTAATAGAAAAAAACGTATTTTAATGTTTGAAAGATTTTCAATTTGATACTGATTATGGAGGGCGGTAACCATTAATAGCAACATTGAGGTAATTAACATGTTAATTTCTATTATTTTAATATACTTACAAAATTACATTTAATGAATTTTGGTTTTTAAATTTTATTATGTACAAAGAGCAACACTATAGAACAGCTACAACTAAGAAAATAAAATTTACATATTTTAAAATATAAAAATTAACTTACATAAAGAAATTTCTTCCAGCATAACCTGAAAATCTTATAAAGCGGTAGGTACACAGGTATGTAGTACATAGATAGATACGTAAGAAATATATATTCAAAATTAAATATTATAAAACGTGTACTTAAATTAATATAGGGATATCAAACAAATGAAATAATATAACAATTTATTTATTAAATATTAGGATTTATTATACATATTTATTAATTATAAGAATATTAAACAAAAATATAACAAAATATATCATATATTGGACGAAATATAAAAAACTAACTATTATTATTACCCGACTGCAATGAAAGGGTTATTGTTTTTCGCGCATATCTTTGTATGTTTGTAATATTCTTTATTCCCTTATATCTTCCAAACTACTGGATGGATTTCTTTAATTAAGGTATCGTTAGATTCGTCTCATTAGTCTAATGATAATCAACATACACGTTTCATCCTTGCCGCGAGATATACACTCGTATGTATGTCTCCTACTGCATAATACTATATGCCTTCGTTAACTTGTTCTCATCTTTTTACTTAGCTTTTATGCAGTCGGGTTTTTATTTTTAAATATTTTTTTAACTAAGTAGTTTCCATAATAGTCACTTTAACAAAAGAGACTGCTACATACGAAAATCTTATATCTTATTATCAATTAAGATAAGCACAATTGTTTAGGAGATATTTATTACTTAGTAATCAATATAAGCCAGTTTTCGCCTAGTGGTAGTAGTACATTCGACCAAAACTTTCTTTTAATTCAGCTCGTCAATAGCAACTAAACAAAAAAAAAAGAAAAGAAAAAACTAAACAAAAAGAGTGTTGTCTTTGCTTATCTATGCAGATAAATAAAATTGAATCGTCTGTTTGTAATGTTGAAATAATAGCTTTTTACTAAATGCATATGAAATTATATGCGATACTTATAAGAAAAATTTAAAATTTCTGTCTGTCAGTTTGTCTATTTGTTCCGGCTAATCTTTGAAACGGCTGGACCAATTTTGGCGGGAATTTCACAAGCAGATGGCTGATGTTATAAAGAGTAACTTAGGCTAATTTTATTTTAAAAAAGAATTAGAGTTCCGCTCAAAAACATTAAAACATACTTAGTCACTATTTTAATATACAAAATGACTTTCTACAATAAATGACATATATTTAATTATAAAATACTGCGTACTCGCATATTTTCTTTAAGTACAGTGTTGAATGTTTTATTCAAGTTTATAATACCTCCCGTCACTAAACTTTTTCAATATCGGCGGTGGGTGATTGTGTTCTGTGAAAGTGTATCTGATGTTACCGTCTCTATCCAAATTAATTCTGGCTTTGCACTTGTTTTTGCTTCTCTTGGAGCAGTATAAATATCTTTTGATATCCTTAGGACCTTGGTATGAAAATGTGTAGTTATTATACAATATCAGGGAAGTATGATCATTACCAACGAATTGTATCACTTCGAATGTTGATTCTGAAATATTGATTAAATATATTAGTTTTAGGCATATATCTAGTATATAAACTTTTTACGTTTTTATTTAATAGAATAAAAAATTAACTAAAATAATTTCCTTAGAAGAAAACTGTAATTTCTTTGTAAAACACTTTTCTTTGCGAGAAATATAGAGAAAATATATTCATGAATGACTCCAATTTTATTTCCTCTATAGACTACTGTACTCAAAATCGTATTCCACATTTCGTATTAGACATAGCAACTAAAAAAAAATACCTCATACGTTAAAACAAACATTTACCTCAAGCGGAAATCGAATCAATGAAGCAATATTCATTAGTAATGTACTATTCAGTGTGTATGTTCGTGGTAATGATTATACGCAGACTTAACTAAACTACAAAATACATAGAGTTGTAGATAGTTGATGCTATTAAATAGTCTATATAATTTAATAATGAGTCATTAAAAATAAAAAATACCTAATTTTAATTGCGAAAATATTATAAAATTAAGCAAGTTTTAGTAATAAAATTTTAATTGTGATTATTTTAATAATTTTGATGCTTTTATTTTTAATAATTTTAAAGCTTTTAATTCATTATTTGTGCATAACTACTACTAATATTTGACTGTAATTTTATTTCAGACAGTTGTATCACAAACGTATATATTTACTCAGTTTAGTACCTTGAATGCGTAAGTATAAATAAAATTTAATTCATAGTTAGTAAAAGTGTTTCCAATTACCATAAAAAATCATAACTATTAACGACTCTCATAATGTGGCATGTATCTGACTACCATCGTGAAATGAGTTATCACGTTGCTCAATTTATCTACATCAATCATATAAAAAAGGAACACTTACGTAAAAATATATAGTTTATAAATACATACATACATATACAGTCCTTAAAGTGTAAAAATCATAAAATGAATTCTCAATGTATGTTATTCAAAAATTATAAAGAAGTCATTAATATTATTAAACGAAGCAAGTGTCAAATTAAATTCTGTATAGAGCGGCGTCTTTTTATTTCTATTTAACCACCTGGCATTATAAAGTATTTCTGGAAAACATAATGCATATTACAACATAAATATCCCACGGGAACCGTACATTTTTCCGGGATAAAAAGTATCCTCTGCGCTACTTCAGACTATAATCTATCTCTGTGCCAAACTTCATCCAGGTCCGTTCAGACATTCTGGCGTGATTGAGTAACAAACATCCATCCAAACATCTAATCTTTCACATTTATAATATTAGTAAGATTTGTAACAGAAATGAATATACTGTACTCCATGACGTTGGCCAATCTCTGAGACTAACCAACAATACCGGCATATTCCAACTTTACAGACGTTACCTTTAAATATTTAACCACAAAATCTTAAAATCAACAATAATAAATCAAACTAAATTTTATATATATCTCCATCTGGAGACCTAAAGATCATTGGAGCCTGATGATTATGCTCTCCCACAAATTCAGACAAATTGCCATCGGTTGTGGTGTTAAGCTTAGCTCTACATCCACTCTTTCTTTTGGAACAGTACCATATTACTTCTGCATTGTTTTCATACACTTTGGAAAAAGTATATCCTTTGTGTACTATTAAAACACCTTGTCCTCTTCCACGGTTAATGGGTATGTATTCTAAGGCACCTGTAATAATAATGATATTTTGCTAAGAAACTTCAAGAGTAAACAGTTTTTTGAAAATAATGGAGCATGTTTAATTATTATTTTTTGTCTTCGTATACTCGTATAATGAACAATGAAAATTTTAACTCAAAATTTTTATTAGTCGCCAAATGAGGTTTTACAAAAATTATCATGTTTATATTTCTATTCACATATATCATATAAAGTCAATTCTATGAGTTAGTGTCTTTCGAGATAACAATACTTCAATATTATAGTCTTACTAATTTCAGTCCAAAGTAAATCTCAAAATTTTACTAAACAGACAAACAAAACTACTAAAACAAAAAATAATAATAATAATAATAAAGAAGCAATAATAACAAAAATTAATACTACATAATATATTTACTATGTGTTAGCTAATACTAAAATTTATTATTGGTTTATATGCATGATGGAATGAAACTCAATGAAGCTATTTTTCAGGTTAAGGAATTTCTGATTTCATGTATGGTTATCTAAATTACAAATTATTTAAAATAGTAAATTTTGTTTTTGCATAAATATAACTTAGCATTATAAAAATTATTATACTCGCAATCAGTTTTTATTGACAAGCTAATATGCTAATAACAATATATGTATTTATAATCATAGCATTCACTCTATATAGCAAAATAATAAAAGAACTAATAATATTGTATAAAATATATTCTAAATTAGGTGTACTGTTATTATATCAGCTTTATTGATAAGATACTAATTTTTGTTGTTTTATGAGTGTTATATTTACTAAATAATATGTCATTTATGTCTGGAAAAAAAATTGCATGTGTGAGTGTATAATGTCAAATTATTTTAGTAATTAAAGGCTATTTTATTTATTTTATTTTATTTATTTTATTTCAGTCACGACAATCTCTCTTATTTTCATAGTACGATTGGACTAATGTTCAAACAAAGCATTAAATAAATGACAAAGTAGACAGAGGAGCTCTGTAAGCTAGCAAATGAACCAATGACCTTTTAAGACGTCAAAACTCTTAGCCTCTGCAATAACCATGTTTGCTATAAAACATTCGAAACCTCGGACAGAAAATTTTAAAACCGCGACAAAATCCCTAAATTCATTTAAAATATCAAATATTCGCGTAAAGCTAAGAAAATAAATTTGGGGACAAAAACTAACTACTTACTTAAATTTGCAATTAACATTCAAATGTTTAACCTTTCTATATAATAATAACCATTTAATAATCACTATCATATTTCCACTGATTCATATATATCTAATATTATCATATATCTAATAGTGATAGCCACAATAGGTGATACATTAGATTTTATATATTTCTCCATCTCGGCCCCTAAATGTCACTGGAGCTGCATGATCATGATCTCCTACGATCGTATGTAGTCTACCATCAGATGTGGTTGTAAGTTTAACTTTACATCCACTCTTTCTTTTGGAACAGTACCACTTATTGTGATACATTTTGGAGAAAGTGTGTCCTTCATATACTATAAGGTGACCTTTCCCTCGGTTACTAGGTATATAATCTAAGATACCTGCAAAAGTTTTTTTAGTATAAGAAATTTTAATAGTGAAAAATTAATTGATATTCACTATACCATAGTAAAGTTATGGAGTATTTAAAAAGATGTATTTTGTTCGAATATATGTATATTCTTATTATTCGCAATTTAAATAACATTCAAATTTTATATGAAAAGTATGTAGTAACACTAAAATCTATTATAGTTTTTTTCAAGAATTCCATAATAAAAATATATATGTTGAAAAGACGATGAAAAGAAGATACGTATCTTTTTATTTTTCTCAAATCTACAATTTCCCATAAGTTTTCTTATTCAAAGAATTCCTATATGAAACTTAAACACTAAAATTGAAAAGTTTAAATCTAAACTTTATATATTTTCCCATCGGGACTTCTGAAAATATTTGGTGGTGGATGATTATGTTCTCCTGTGACATCCACTAGCTTGCCTTCTAAAGTCGTACTCATTTTCACCTTACAGCCGACAAGCCTCTTGGAGCAATGCCACCTAGTTCTATTGTAGACATTCACAAACGTGTAACCTCTGAAAATGATTAAATGCCCACCCCCTCTATTGCTAGGCATAAACTGTAACTCTGGAAAAAAAAACAGTAAATTAGCTATGAAATACAAAAAACCGTAAAGTGAAGAATTTATAATAATTTATTACTTTTTAACTTACTTTTTATGTGGTCTTAAAATATAGGCTTTGACGAACAAGAAACCAACATATATTTCTTTTTTGCTATAAATAAACTAAAGCTAGTGCCCACCGCGAGGTAAGGAAACGAAAATGCAAAAATAAAATGAAACATATGTAATCAATTCCAATCAGACAATTTATGGACTTAAAACTTATTAATAACAGAAATATTTACATAATACGTTTATATATTTTAACATTAATTATAGTGTTATCTTGTGAAATATCTTCCCGCCCTATATTTTATAAATCTTGCCATAAGACGATCTATGGAACTTCGGAGGTGCATGATTATGTTCACCTCTACAAAATATCAACTTTCCGTCCACAGTAGTCTTTATTTGGACCGTACATCCGGAATGTTTCTTTGAACATACCCATGACATTTTCTTGTACACATTGGCAAATGTGTTACCTTGGTACAATAGCAACTGACCTTTTCCTTGGGCAGTTGTTACGAACTCTACTTCATCTAAAGACAAAAATAAATTATACATATTATTATTAATGTATATTTTTAACTATTTGTATGATTATATTTTATGAATTTTAAATTAAAAAAACTTATTGAAAGTTTTTAAATAACTTTAAATAAAAAAAAGTTTATGAATTTCTTATAAATAAAACAGAAAGTGACTTGTAATTTTAATTTTTTAATAAACATAATATCATCGTAATAATATATTATAAACAAATTGAGATTGCAAACTTTCAAGATATACTACGAATCAAAACATCACACAATCAATGCAATGGCCAAAATTTAATATTTTGTTTGACACAATAAACTATGTATTCATTACATTTTGACTCTTAACACTTGTCCGTCCTGTGTTCTATACATTTGTGGAGGCAAATGATTATGCTGGCCTATCAGTGCGATGAATGTCCCTGCAGCTGAAGTTTTAAGACGGACCTTACACCCGGCTTGTCTTTTAGAACATTGCCACGACACATTTTTATAGACGTTGACGTAAGTGAAACCGTTATGTAAAACTAACATGCCGTCTCCTCGATTACTAGGTATAAATTCTATTTCATCTGAAAATATTATAAATATATTTTATACAGAAATAGTTTTACAACTTAAAAATTGACAGAAAGCATGCAAAATATATTCAAATTTAATCGATAAGGCCACATTTCCGCTTCCGAATAAGGAAGAAAATGATGTCATTCGATTTGATCTTTACATATTCTGAAAATAGACCGTGTGCCTGATAAGAAAATATATTTATGAGAAAAAAAACGACCATTAATATACTACTTGTGAGACGCCAAAGTTTGGTCTAACTGGTCAAGTTACCAGTTAGACCAAACTTTGGTTTTTGGTAAACCAGTTAGACAAACTAACATTTTGTCTAAAATGAGACATTTTCAGTAACATTTCAACTAAGTATTTTGTTTTTATATAGAGCGCAGGATAGAAGCACTATGATTTTTAAATATATTGTGTCGTAACATAAGAATATTAAAATAAAATAAGAAAGAAAGTACTTCTGATATGCGCCCTATATAAAAAAAGTTGAGATGTTACTGAAAATGTCTCTTTTTAATGAAAATCCCAGTTGACCTAACACGCGCGGCACAAGTAGTATTCATTGTAGTTTTTTTCCTGTCATAAATAATTTTTTTCAGAAAAGCTGAAATCATATGACAATTTTATTTTGGTTATTCAAGGGCAGAAATGAGGCGTTATACCCTTCCTTTAGTACTCTTTTGTTTAATATTTCATCATTGAATTAAAAACATTTAATCTTCTATAAATCGTTCGGTTTTACGCTATACATCGATTGCTCGTAACTGATCTTCGATTCTTTAATGCCCGATTTCACCAACAACTCATAAGCTACCACCTACGTATGGGATCCCTAGCTTAAAAGTCCCCTAAACTAGCCCCTAAATTAAATTTCGTTTTACGATCGTCTTTAAGCCCATATTTCGAGCACCTAAATTCAGGGGGCCTTTTAATATTTAGGTGACCCCTAACTGTCGGTGAAACAGAAACTGTCCCCTAACAGCCCCCTAACCATGCTTAGGGGATCCCTTAAACTTAGGTGACGTTGGTGAAATCGGGCATCAAACCCCTAAGTAAGTTTTTGTAACGGGCTAATAAAACTCTTTTTTAATTACACTTAATAAATATTTACTTAAATAACTTCCACATTGTATTGACAATAAAAGTTAATCATATACATACATATTATATGTACCTACTTTGAAATATTAATTTGATAGTATTATTATCAGATAGTAACATAATTCTCTTATTAATAGCTTCAAAGCGTGCCAGTTGAGCACAGATTACTTCGCCAACATCACGTAGAATGGAGAAGACGATATAATTGTAAATAACAAATTCCACAAGGTGTGCACGAATGTTCAACACATTAAACGATTAATCAATTCGAATCATCTTGCCTTCCCTTGTCCTATAATACTTAGGTCGATTATGATTATGATCACCAATAGCATTAAGGAATTCTCCCTCTTCCGTCGTTACCACTCTGGCCTTACATCCAGTCAACCTCTTAGAACAGTACCATCGAGTCTTGTTCTTCGCGTGTACGTGTGAATACGAGAAACCGTTATACATCAAAAGCTGTCCAGAGCCGCGACTATTTTTCGTTATTTCAATAATACCTGTAATAGATATTCAAAGGGATATTTTGTGTCACTTTATTCTTCGTAAGATCCTCGTTATTTAGTCTGCAATGCTAGAAGCTCTAATTGGCTGCCTAAACCTGCTTCTCTTATACTAGTAAGTTATTATTTATAAATAAAATAAAATTATTTTATTATAGTGTAATGGGTGGTATTTTATAACACTTGCACTATACAGGTTTAAAGGTTTGTCACGATTCTCACCAACAATTATATTTTTGTAAAATATTACTAGCTCACTAAGTATGATTGTCTATCTCTATCGATAAAGAAAATAATTTGAATTTTCTGTAAACTACCTACATGTCCATTTAAAGTGAAATCTAGACATATAATAAAATTGTAACTAGGCCGAATCTTTACATTAAATATTTTTTGGAAAATCTTATTGAAATAGACATTATTATCGATACAGAGACCGAATCTATAGTTTTTAGAATTTTTGTCTGTCTGCCTGTCTATCTGTCTGATACCGCATCACAGAAAAACCACTGGAGGGATTTTGATGAAATTTGGTATGGTGATAGCTGGTTTTCAGGGTCAACATATAGGATACTTTTTACCGCGAGAAAATACCTAATTTCTGAGAAAAAATGCAAAAACTGCAATGTAAGAGTATTCTAATATGTGAACCTAAGAATTTGGATTTTGGTCGTCTGAACGCGGGCGGAGCCGCGGGCAATGCTAGTGTACAATAAATTACACTTGAGACCTATCTCAATTGATCGTAAAAATTTTACAGCTAATCCCTTAACGACCGCGGACACGCCGGCGTTACAGTTAACAATAGATTTATTTTTGTTATGTTAACAATAGATTCTTAGAAATTTAATTAATTTCTTAGAAATTATCTGGAGGTGTTGATAATTTACTTGTTCATTTAACTTTTTTTTTTAACGTGGGTAGTTTTCAATAATACCCTCCGATAGTTTAGTCTTGAATAGGTACATTAAATGAGCTTATATGTTTTAAAGTAGAAATTAGTAAAGTTTCACATTTTTTTATCCCACCTATATTAAAATACAATTTAACGTTATAAATAATCTGAGATTCACAAATGACATTATTTCAATCTACAATTAAATCAACATTTGAAAATTTTGCCATCTTTAGTTCGAAATAGGTTTGGTGGTTGATGGTTGTGCATATATTCTATAATAGCGAGCAAATCTCCATCGGGAGTAGTGAGGAGCCTCGCCTTACATCCTGCAGCCTTCTTCGAACAGTACCAGCGCGTCTTGCTACTCATGTGGGCGTAAGTGTATCCCTTATAAATCAACGTCGTGCCACCACGATTGGTTGGAATAAATTCCAGTATATCTGAAAATATTATTCAATGTTAAATCTATAGCTAGTTCCTTGCCTTCGTTTATAGCTTCGTTTAAAACAAATAAGAAATTAAATTAAGTTTAAAAAAATATACAAACACAGACTGTTTGAATAGAATTGACTCAAAAATAGACTAGACTGGAAATTAGGATGCGTCTAATCATTATAAAGATATTTCAGAATCTAGTACCTACATAAATATTTTTTTAGAAAAAATCGCAGTCCAATTCACGTGGCACCAACTTAATAAAAAAATAGTGTTGTTTAAAATATATTATAATACTTAATTAACAATAAATGGTAATAATAATTATAATATGCCTAAAATTTTTATATCTATCTGCTTTTTTTTCTTACTAGGTAACATGTTACATTATATAATACATACACCGTAATAACTTTAAAGGTATAGAATAGCTTAGGTTCAATATCATATGATTATAGTTTATACCTAAGTACACAAATTTAAAAGTACTAGTAATATACTATGTTGTTTTATAAAAAGGGGCCCTTCGTATCATAGGAGCATTATATCCGGTCCGGTCGGTCGCGGCATTGCCACGAGGGTGTCACTATGATTCGCCTGTCTACCCCACAAGGGAAATTATTTGTAACTGTGTACCCATATATTGACATTTATAGCTCTATGCTTTTATATTTAAAAAAATATGAATCACACATAAAAAATATTTATTTATTATTATTATAATATACCCATTATTTTCTAAAAAAAAATCAACTAAAAGATACGTAAATATAAACATCTCCTTAAATAAATGATAAATCCCGGAAAAAATTCGTTAATCGGAATCGACCCCTTTCCATTTCAATGAAATTTGATGGGAAGTTTTCTTTTATTATAAAACGAAATTCTACCAAAGCAACGAAATTAAAATGCATCTAGAAAATACGATTATTACTAATAATAAGCGAATTTTTCGCTATTTCTTACAACTAAGTAACGTCCAGTTTTAGTGACATGAATATTTGGTGGTTTGTGAAGGTGCTCAGTATCGGCTGATATTATGGTACCGTCTGTGTGTAGTTTAACTTTAGCTTTACACCCTTTGCTTTTTTGCGAGCAGTACCAATATCTCTGCGAATGCATCTGTGCGAATGTGTATCCTCCCATCAACAAAAGCTTATTTTTATAACCAGACGATATAAAAGAATATTCTGCAATAGAAATTACAATATTAACAAGTTTACTGAAATTTAATCATTTAGATACCTACCTATCTAGTTGAAGATAAATAAAAAGATCATGCTTTTCCGTTTTTTGAACTTTTATTTGTCTAATTATAATATAACATACTTAATTTTATCTCATATTACCGTTGTACATATTATACAAGTAATAAATCTAAATCATTGACATTTCAAAAGTAACGTTTTGTAGACCAAGATTCTCACCAAGAATATATATATATATATACACACACTAGCGACTCACCCTCGCTCCGCTCGGGTTCGTCCTAGTGAAAATTTAGGTTTATATGTATATTTAACGCCGACTCATAAAAAAAATTAAAATAAAAAAAAAAAAATTTTAAGGGTGAACAACCCTTATCACTTAGGGGTATGGAAAATAGATAGTAGCCGATTCTCAGACCTACTGAATACGCATATAAAATTTGGTAAAAATCGGTAAAGCCGTTTCGGAGGAGTACGGTAACTAACATTGTGACATGGAAATTTTATATATATATATATATATATATATATATATATATATATATATAATTTTAATATGGGTAGTTTTGAATAATATACTCCGCTAGTTTGGTCTTACATTTGAAAACTTTGCCATCTTTAGTTCGAAATAGATTTGGTGGTGGATGATTGTGCCTAGATTCTATAACATCGAGCAAATCTCCATTGGGAGTGGTGAGGAGCCTCGCCTTACATCTTGCAGCTATCTTAGAACAGTACCAGCGAGTCTTGTTACTCATGTGGACGTAAGTGTATCCTTTGTAAACCAACGTCGTGCCACCACGGACAGTTGGAATAAATTCCAGTAAAACTGAAAATATAGTTCAATATTAAATCTATACCTAATTCATTGTCTTTGTTTAATCTATCTCCGTGCCAAATTTCATCTAGATCCGTTCAGCCATTCTCTCGTGATTGGGAACAAACATCCAAATATCTAAACATTTACATTTATAATATTAGTAATACAAGTAGCTCAGGAATCTAGTACCTACTGAGATTTCATGAAAAGGGTGTCTGGCAAGGGTTTGCCACGATGTTAAGTGTCTGGCATTGAATGACATGAATTTTAATAATATTCTGAAGGTAATACCAAATAATCACACTTTATTATTTGACGAATTTAGATCGGTATTTTACACACCTTTAGTACCGTGTATCTGCCAAAACCACCATAGCCTGAACTTCATAATGGTCCATCGTTCTTATTTGAGTTGGGAGCATGCGCTGACAAACTTTCAGCTTTTATAAAATGACGAAGGTCTGGCGTTCACGGGCTCTTCCTATATTGTGACATATGGGATGAAATCTTTAGGTAGTTTTGTTGTTACGCCAAAGAAGTAGGTATAACTTCTTACGTGCGCACATCAGAAACGTGTAGGTACGCCCAAGCCATAGATGTATTGAAAATATATTTACAACAATCATATGTTAAAACATATGATTGATCGAGCAATTTAACAGGTTTAATATACAAGCAGTGATCCCGAAACAACTCAAATATTAATTTCCATATTTCTAACTTCTATCTAATATTATAAACTATTTTAAAATGGATTTATCATACCTACTATATATTTATAATAGAATTTATCGCTATTTCTTAAAACTAAGTAACGTGCAGATTTAGAGACATGAACATTTGGTGGTTTGTGAAGGTGCTCATTATCGATTGATTTTACGGCACCGTCTGTGTGTAGTTTAACCTTAGCTTTACATCCTTTACTTTTTTGCGAGCAGTACCAATATGTGCGAATGTGTATCCATCCTCCCATCAACAAAAGCTAATTTTATAAGGAGTCGATATAAAAGAATATTGTGCAACAGAAATTACTTTATTAACAAGTTTTCTAAAATATTAGTCATTTAGATATTTGAAGACAAATAAAAGGACCATGTTTTTCTTTCTTTGACATTTTATTTGTCTAATTATAATGTAACATAATTAATATTTTATCTTATAGTTGTACATATGGAAATAATAAATATAAATCGACAAATTTAATCGTGCTTTAGAAAACATAATTTGTCCTTAAAATATTTATGAAGCTCAGTTTTGGACCTTTTTATTACGTACATAAAAAAATAATCACTACTTAATATAAATAAATATAAAAAACGACAATAAAAAAACATTTATTATAAACAAAAAAAAATATAATTTATTGACCAGACAATCCCATTTAAGAAAAACGACATTAAGTATTAATTTAACACGACTAATTTTAAAATCAACTTCTTTGCTTAACATAGTACCCATCTGCTCGCTTCTTGTACAGCGGACGGGCATGATTATGGTTCATATTAGCATATTTTATACCGGTTTCTTCTTCATTTAGGCACACTTTAGCTTTACAACCTTTCAAACGTTTAGAGCAGTACCAATGCATTTTATTATTTTTAGCGTAGGTGAATCCATTTAACATTAGTAAAGTCTTGTTACCAGGCAGTACTATGATTTCAAAATCTGCAAAAAAATCTCTCTCAGTTACATACATTTTTTTAACTTGTATATTTTTCAATCATTGTTTCCTAATAGGGTTCTTTTAAATAAAATATTCGTCTGTATATAATATTGTATGTGTAAAAAATACAAGATAAAACTAGAATGTTGGTGACTTCTACACATTATAAATAAGTACTAAAAAGACAAATATCTTAATGATTACTCTTTGCCTAAAAAAGTACACGCACTTCATAATCACTGAAAAGTAACACGCTGACACAAGTTTTTATGACATTTATATAGAACATTCAGCCATTAAAGCAAGAGTTATGTAAATCGATTTTGAATTAATGAAGATATCGTGTATAATACACCTTGCATTACACCAAAATCATATAAGTACAATGAAATACAGTATAATAGTATAAAACTATCTTTTCGGATACTGTCAGTCTGTCCCTTGACCATGTTTGCGTTCAAAACATCGGGAATCATAAAACATTTTTTTAACTTTTGTTTTTTTAAGTATTTTTCAACTGACCGACCGACTTCAAAAAAACACAAAAAAAATTATCTAATCAGATATTTTCGAAGTCGATGCCAGGCGATACAAATCAAAGGTTGCCTGGAAGAGATCACTTGAAGTGATAAGGATGAAGTCGTAATACTATATTCCATCGTGAACTTGTTTTCACCTTTTTAGTTTAGCTTTTATGCAGTCAGGTTTTTTTTAATAATATATTTATTTATTTACAGCTTTTTAAGTATTTTTGAGTAGGAAAATTAGCCAGAATGGTTGTTAACCAACTTTAAATCATTATATATCGTAAACTATTATTTGTAATGAAAAATGATGAAAGAAACCTAAAAATGATATTTGAACATCTATTCAACGATAACCCACTTGACATAGTTCGTCGATTTGCTTCTTTTTTTTTCTTTTTCAGATTATGGAATTTTGCAGCCCCGTGTTTAATTTTTTTATGTCACCTATCTAAGAACACTTGGGCTAATGAGACGAATCTAACGATACCTTAATTAATGAAATCCATCGAGTGGTTTGGAAGATATGAGGGAATAAAGAATATGACAAAAAAACACAAAGATAGGCGACTTAATATCTAAAAGGTTGTCAATTTACCGTCAATTTAATTTGAGAAAAGAAGAGCTTACATGTAGCAAAATTTTGATGAATACGAAAGTGCAGGAACATATAAGAGGACGACAAGTAGGTATGGACAAAAGAGTATATGAATAAAAGGTGTGAAATCATATATGACGAATTATAAAAAATGGAAACGTGTATACTGTGCTGACCCCAGATAGGTCGAATAAGAAGACTTACAACTCTAATATCTAATTTAACCGCTTAATTTAACGTATTGTCCGGTAGAGCACTTTTTGTAGACTGGTGGATCATGGTTATGGGTGTTATCGCAAAAGTCCACAACTGTTCCATCAGAGTTCAAAAAAACTCGAGCTTTACAACCTTTCGCCTTTTTCGAACAATACCAGTGCCTCGCAGTTATTTTAGCAAACGTGAATCCTTGTACCATTAGCAACTGTTTGCTGCCTTGTATGTTTATAAATTGTGGATGATATGAGGGATCTGAAAAAAATATTGTATATGCTATTAGTGTTTGACGAAAGTTAAACAATGAATACCGGTATTCTTAAATAAGTTACGAAGTAGGTACCATCTTGCTTCTCAAACTTCTTGCTTATAAACAATTGCTTTATAGACATATATTAAATTATTGATATAGCATTGCTATATTTTAACATACTGTATTTACTTTTAAAGCCTTAGAGAATAAAACACAACTTTAAAAATGAGAAAATATTTTTGTATGCAACACATTTATTTAATAATTTTTATGCATGTATTTTTTGTAGATATAATAACTTCGTTTATAAGTGAACTAAAGATCACACAAAAAACTCAGCATTTTGAAGTACGTATTATATGTAATAACTAGCGACTTACCCTCGCTCCTCTCGGGTTCGTCCCTAGATACATTTTAATGGTTAGTATAGATTTCTCAGAGATGAGATATTTTCCCGCAGTAAAAAGTATCCTATATGTTGACCCGGATAACCAGCTCTCATAATATTTAATGTCATCAAAACCTATCCTGCAGTTTTTTCGTGATGAGTTCCCAGACAGACAGACTAAAATTCTACAAACTATAGATTCGACTCAGTTATAATTTTATTATATGTATAGATAACACTGAAGTATTATTATATCCGTACAAAAGTGCCTTCCTTAGTCTTAAAATATTTTTCAGGCGGATGGCAATGTGTACTTTCTACAAAAACCACGGTTCCTTCTTGAGTCAGAGTCAATCTTGCCTTGCAATTTAAATACTTTTTCGAACATCCCCAACGATGTTGACTGGTTTTTGAAAATGTGTGCCCATCTATGAGTAGTAGGGACTTCCCGCGTTGTGAAGATATAATTTCATACTTAATGCCTGAATAGAAATATTTTTTCCACATTAGATAATTGTGAAAAATCCATTGCAGCATGTTAGTCCTATAAATATGTCATAAATTTTATGTATAAAAATTATAATTTGGAAAATACAAAGATTAAATATAAAATACATGAATAGCGATAGAATTAACGAATCTTTTGTCACTTAAATAAAAAGGAAAACGTAACCACGGTAATGTTTATGTATGACATTACCGTGACGTATCACGTAACGTATTAAAAAATTAAATACTTAAAATATTTATTTAATTAAGTGCATATTTAATTTATTACATAGAAGCAGTGATGCGTCACTTATTATCTATTACTAAATTTGTTCTATATTTTAAGGGTATGTTTAAAAAAAAACCTAACTATAATAGCATGCTATAACATATTGAGATTATCTATATAATGCTGATTAGTGTTATTTGAAAATAGAATAATGCAAAATGAAAAATTAAGTCAACATTTCTAAACTATAATACTTCTACATTCTTATACACTGTCCAGTGTAAGTTCTATATATTTTTTTAGCTTCATGATTGTGATTGTTATAATACAATATGATATCCCCTTCTTTATTTAATCTAAGTTTTGCTTTGCAAGATGGATGGTGGGTGGAGCATATCCAGCGGTACCGCCCTCCTCTCGCATATGTAAACCCTTCAACTAGAAGCAAGTCCCTTCCTCTCTGCGATTTGACCACGTCGTAAAGCAAAAGCCCTGAAAAAAAAAGATCGTGACTAAGAATAGTATGTTAACTTACAATCTTCGTATTAATAAAAAATCTAATTTCCTTATTGTAGGCTATTGTATGCTAAAGGTGTGTTATAACATAAATTGTGATGTGTTACTGTAGAAATAACTGAACAAAAAATATTTTATAATTCGTATATAATATCCAATAATGATTATCATTTTATTATGGCTAGGTTTGTTGAAAACTGAAAGCAGTCAAAACAATAATTGAACTAAATATTCGAACAGCAGTTATAATATTTTAGATTGTTCTCTTAATTCTAATTAAAACAACTAATATAATCCAAAAAATATTTAATTATACTTAACTAAAATTATATATTTAATTTAAAATAAAGTTATTCACGAATAACTTTATTTGGAAAACCTTCTAGTCTGATTAACGGACGTCTGGGATGATTGTGCAAGAAATGCTCGTATATTATTTGTCCCTTACACACTCTAAGCTTTGCTTTACATGATGGATAGTTAGTGGAACATCTCCAACCAAACTTACTGCATCGAGAGAAAGTAAAACCATTGCTGATTAATAAATCTCCACCTTTTTCTGATTTAACGAACTCGAAATTAATGAAATCTGTAAAAGCATAAATTATATATAAAACATTTTAAATTACATTTATAGTTTAATTTTTGTAAAAATTGCAGATTATGTTCGTCGTCAAATATACGGCAAGACAAGACAGTTTTTACCTTTTTAAAGTAAAAAAAATGCTTAAAACTTCATTTTTAGTAGTATTCTTTCCAATATGGGAAATAAGGGTGTCGAAAATGACACAGTAGTGACGGACACAACTCAATATTTTTACGATTTTTAAAGGTGGAAATGTTAATAGAAAAAAAAACTATATAAATGTCTTAAAACTTACCTCACCTACCACCGATCCTATCATTCACTTTTATTTGTATAGAATCAGTGATGGATATTCACACAATTTCAAAACAAACAATAGTCTAGAAAATACATTTTTATTTATAATTATAAACTACATATTATTGTTTAATTCACATTTATTTACTTCTAAATACGAATTACTTTGCCATCTTTCGTTCTAACAATTCTTTTGTCTATACCATGAGCGTGGTAATTTGACAATATTTTTACCAAACCATTTCTTTCCTTACTAATTTTAGCTTTACATTTGGGGTATTTTGTACAAATCCAAAGTCGATAGGTGTTTTGAGAGAATGTGTATCCGTTAACAAGAATCAAATCCTTTCCTCTTGTCGACGATACAATATCGTAATGAATTACGTCTGAAATTGTTTTTCATTTAATAATAATAAATACTTTATTGCACACCATACAAGAAATACATAAATCTCTTCCGGGCAACCTTAGGGTAGCCGGTAGAGCAATCAGTTACAAAATGATAGGCGGCATTTATTACTATTTATATATTATTATTAAAACAACAAAAAATTGAAATATAAAAAACTTTAACTATATTTATATTTACATTTTTTCTAACAAAGCTTACACATAAAAAATATATTACACATGAAAAAAATATAATCAAGTTAATTTAATTCATACCTCTCCCATGAAAGAACACGTTATCAATCATAAATGTAACACTTTATTTTAAATATATTACGTACTACTTATATAAACGAATTAGTTCTCCGTCTGGAGTTTTAGCATATTTTCTAGGAGGGTGTGAATGATCTCTACAAATGCTTGTAATCTCTCCGTGTTCATTTAGCTGGAGTCTTGCTTTACAATCGGCAAACTTACTGGAACAAATCCAGTAGCATTTTCTGATTTGGGAGAAGGCATATCCATCGATAAGAAGCAATCTTCGTCCTCTTTGTGAAATTCCTATTTCATATTTAATCTCCAATGCTGTATAAGAATGCGCCAAAATTAAATAAAGATAATGCATTACATATTCAAAATTTAGAAAGAAAATTTATGACATTTCATTTCATTCATTTTATAATCAGAAAATCCCCTCTTGGGCTCCCCTACTATAATTATTATACGTAGATTAAAATATCATGATCATTTAAAATCACACGAACAAAACAAACATAAATGTAATATTATTAGCAAAACTAACCCTCGCTGTTTTCTTTCCTCTTTCGTGGCGGGTGACAGTGATTTGTATTACTTCTTACTATTCTTCCATTTTTAAAGCGAATCATTGCATTACATTTAACATTTTTGCTTTTGCTAGAACATCGCCAATAGTCTGGTCTAACTTGGGTATAAGCAAAACCTTCTGATACTAACAACTGGTTGCCTCTTTGTGAAGGAATCAATTCATATTTTAAATCTGTAACGACTGGCACAATTAAAAATGAACATTTATTAATAATACAAAAAGTAAAAACAATATATTGGTTGTTATGCAGCAGTGTCATCTAAAAAAAATTAAAATAAACAAATTCATTTTGTCATACTTTATTCTTTATTCCAAACAAAATATTTACACTATATAACAGGCTGTAACAGATATATTTTTTTAAATATACATGACACGTATATTAACATGTTAATATGACGAAGAGTAAAAGGTCTTCTTTGAAATCAGTTCATATTTTACAAACTTTTATCTTTACAGATAAAATAACATTTCAACTGGTATATTTATTTAAATCTTTCTAACTAACCTATTCGTAATAAAGTACTTTTAGCTGAAATATACATATAGGAGGAAACTGTTCAAATTTTAATTGAAAGTGATCAAATCTTTATATATCTGCCTCCAGATGTAATCATATAATTTGGTTTAGAATGAGTATGGGGTGCCGAGGAAACATTTAACAGTTTGCTATCGCCACTTATTTTGACACGCGCTCTACATCCAGCATTTTTCTTAGAACAGTAATAGTTATTTGTATCTCTCATCTGTGAATAAGTATAACCATCTACCATTACCAAATACTTTCCTCGTTGCGTTGGTATTCTGTATACAACTGCGCTATTGTAATCTGAAAAATATTTTGAAGAATTCTTACGTTTCTTTGTCCGATACAATTTTATAATTAGAAAAGGAATTTTGTTTACTTAATTTAAACAATTATTCGTGCTTGGTAGTATCTATAATTCATTATAAATATATCATGTATACCACACAAGTTAGCCCAAAATAATATTTATTCCTAAACGAAATTTGATCAATTGTGAATCTTAATATAGCGTCCAGTAGCAGTGATCATATATTTCGGGGGAGGATGAATGTGAACAGTTACCGAATTGACAGATATAGATCCATCATCTAAAAGTTTAACACGAGCTTTACATCCAGAATCCTTTTTTGAACAATAATAATTGTTGGTACTTCTCATTTGAGAGTATGTATAACCATTCAACATCAGCAAATATTTACCGCTGCGAGTGGGTATAAATTTATATTCCTTTTGATCTGTAAATTGTGAAGCATATCGTCATGATTAATAATATGTTATGTACAAATGTAGAATTTTAAATAGCCAAACAAAAATAACTAAAAAATTGATTTTTTTGATTGATTACTAAATAATTCAAATATTAGAATTTTTATGATGATTTAATATAATGATTGTAATGTGAAGTTTAATGATCTTTGTTAATAGAATCTTGATTGTAATCGGTAACGAACCGAAATAAAAATAAATAAATATAAATACATAACAGGTCACTACTTAGATGTATGTTTTAAACAGTCCAAGACATTCAAAGAAATTATTTTGTCTTGTCTTGAGGATTTATAGATAGACTGTTCTGTTTATTATTTTCCCACAGTATTAGCAAATAATGCTTTATTTTCTTCTCCAGCTCAAGTTGGGTCTGGGTTGGGGTTAGGTTTCTTCTTCATCTAAAAATTTCTCTTCTTACGTAGTTGGCTGACTTATCGGTATTTATCGCAGTTTTTTTTATGTTTTGCTTACATCTTTATATAATTGACTCTTGTGTAGTTATTTTTAGCCCAGACGACCAAGTGGCAGTGGCTCTTGGACTGGTAAAGGCAATATTGATGACGGTGATGGTTAACAAATTAAATCTTTACTACATAGACATCATGGAATGTTCGCTCTCATATTAGCAGAACTTTTTTTCTTATAATATTTATTAGAACTAGCCCGCCATGACATCCTACAGTGCCTTTTTCACGATCGGTCATTTCAGATATTACTTTTAATTTTCCTGTAGTTCTTGCGTTGAAATAATACTGTTTTTGCTTTTCTCTTAAAGAAGTTAACTTATCTGGATCATTTTTTATTCGTTCATAACGTTTTTTTTAGTGTCTCGCTTTTTTTCTAATATTTCTTCTCTAGTCTTCTTTTTCTTATTTGTTTTCTTTTTCGGTGGCGGTATTTTAGTTTCTGAGAAAAAGTTCTCAATAAGTTCATGATGTTATTAACGGCAAAATAAATGTGTATGTAGCCATACAATGCTAGTGGGGAATTAAGTAAAATTAGGAAATCTAATTTTCTTGCTTTGTCTCCTCACTTAATAACAACAATACATATAGGTAGGAATTTAATACCCTATGTAACATCTAATTTTCATCACCCAGGTACGCTAACAACTACTACAGGTGTACAGGGCACATTAAATCATACAAGAAATAAAAAAAATGTGAATGATAATTACTTTCCTCTAATGTTATCTCTTTCGTATCTAAGTGATAATACACAAAAAAGTGATTTTGAGATTTTTCAATAATAACACAAAAACGCTGTATTTTAATGAAATGTTAATGCTTTATATTTTATATTAGGTATATTATTCAAAAGAATCAAATATCTTAAACCTAAATATTGTTTACGTAATAATGTTTAACTAAGTACTTAAATCATGTATTAACATATTATCATAAAAGTGAGAGGTTATCTGACTCAAACGCGACTGTGTGATTGGCGGCAATTCAAGCGGAAATGACTTTATAATAAAACCATCTTTTCGGATTTTTTCGCGGGAGGTCCCGGGAGATTTACGATCATGATCACGGGAGATTTCTGTATAGCATTTGAAATGTCGGAAACCAAAAATCTAAATAAATCCGCGAAAAAATCCGAAAAGATAGTTTTCTTTAAAAAACCAATTAATTCCTTAGACGACATTAAAAATATATCAGAAATATTTAAAAATTAAGAGTGTACCAAAATGCCTTTACTGTAAGAACTAGTCATTACAAATTTATTTTTAACATATAGCAAAATATGAAAGATGTGACCTTCAAATTTCACTGTATTCACAGTAAAAACATAATATTAGTTAAGGGCGCCCTACACAAGCACCGAGATCTCAAGCCGTATATCTCAGGTAACACCTGGTTTTATTGAGACGTTACAAATATACCTCTTAACATTTCCATTTAACTCATTTGATAATTGTGTTACTAAAATAATGTTTTGACTCGCGCCAAATAACCACAAAATAAATCATAAGTTTAATCAAGAACCCGTAAGACGAAGCAAAATTTTTCTACGTACCCATGTTTGGTAACATAAATGGCTTGTTTCTTCGAACGTGTAGGGCACCTCTTAGTTTTATAAAAAGAAATATTCGTTATGTCATTTACGAAGAAATCTTCATGTACACGCCTGAAGAGGTAATAACAAATTCAGGTTTTGAGTGATTGTGATTCAAGTCTTCGTTCTTTAAGATTTTTAATTGTTGGTTTGCATCTAGCTTCACTCTCGCTCTGCAGCCTTGATCTTTTTTTGAACAGTAATAGTTTCGGCCATTACTACTTGAGTAAGTATATCCTCGTAACATTAGTAGGCGTTTGCCAGACATAATTTTTATAAACTTGTAAATGAGGGAATCTAAAATTAATTTTAAACAAGTATTAATTACTTTATACTTCAATCCAAAGCAAGTGATACTTAAAAATATATTTAGCGTTTTTTTTTTCACATATAAAATATTTTCAAAATAGGTTTAATTTAAATATTCTCATTTGTTAGCCTCTCATACACATTTGACATTAATTTCAATGTAATCTTTACGTAAAATGATAAAGAAATAAAATACTTATATGTCACAAATTAAACTTTACCACTATAAGAAAATAAAAATATACACCTATAGGTAAAAATCATTTTATTTAAACAGAATAATAACACAAAAACAAATTAGGGCGTAATAACCTTAAGAATATCTTTTGCGTAAATAAAATCAAGCTAACCACTCAAGTCAAGTTATTCTTTATGGAAGAGTTTGTAACAATTCCTGTCTTTCGTTAGACATAAACTGATGTTACAGGTACTGCATCTGGTACGACTCTTCTTATAATGGCACTGGCGACATCTTGATTGCATATTAACAAATTCAGGCATATGTTTAGCAGATGCAGTTCGTCGTGTGGTAGATGGAAGTTCCGTTGTCGGTTTACCTTTTTTACGTTTTAGTGGGATTTCGGGCTCTAAGTCGGCAGAGTCACTGGCTACTTCTCCTACAGTTGTGTGCATTTCAATAAGGCCCTCACCTAGTTCCATTTTAAAAGATCGCAATTGTTGAATCTTACTGAGTGCTACTCCTTTCTTTATTTCTCTCCTTTTGTATTGTAGCCAAGAATTAGACACCGCTAAATCAAGCATATGGGAAAAAAGACGTTGAGTCCATTTTTTTGTACGATATCTATTTGGACAAACTGATAACATGCGCTCTGCAAGATTTATACCTCTCATAGTTGTGGTATAATTGCGTACAACTGCCGGTCTATTAACGGATATATATCGTTTAGTACGTTGGCACCACAGTTGGCATACATCCATTGGCTCTTTAGCTTCAATATTGGAAAGCAAAGTAATAGGTTTATTGTCGTTCCATTTTGTTATGGCAGTTGTGCCATCTTCGCAGACAACAGTATGGACGCTACCACTACCACGTCTTATGAGTTCTTCGTCTTTTATCAATATAGCCCGTGCACTAGCTGGAATTCTATTTTTTACGATGGTGCCAGTACACATTATTCCTCTCACTAGAAGTTCTTTAGCCAGATTAACCGTAGTGAAATATTGGTTAAAATATAACACATGACCTGGCACTAGTGAATTAGACAAAAACAACACTGCTTTTTCGCTTAAACTGAATTCAGAAGCCTCTAATAATTTAGGAAATGTGATATTTCCTTGATAAATTTGAAAATCTAATATGAGGCCATTGGGGTTAGTTAATACAAATGCTTTTAATCCTACAGGGTTAAGCTTACCCGGGCAGTACTGTTTAATCCCACAAGATCCCCTAAATGGAATAATCATTTCACCTATCGACAATCGCTTTTCTTTTCCTTGAAGTCGGCAACCCTGTTGGATCCGCTCTATCAAGGGTCTTACTTTCCATAATTTATCTTTTTTACGTGTTTCTTCTGTAATATCCTCATCAAAGACAACTTTTATAGAACGTCTCAAAGCTGTAAATCGATTTCGTGACATGTTATCTGCAATTATTGGTACTCTCCACTTAGTTTCCCAATACATTCTGAGCCAAGGGTAATTTAATGCTGCCATCACAAATGTAATACCGATATAAACGTATAACTCATTAAGGTCTAAATTAAGCGATTGTCCGTGTAGTGTGACTGATGTTTGATTAGAATATTTTATAATTTGTTCGAGAAAGCTGTCATCCAAGTATTGTCCTAAAAATAAAAATTTATCAAAGTTATCATCGAAATTTTGAATATAAGGGGGTTCTGACATTGCATTCTCTGTTACAACAAAGTTTTTGTCTATCCATTCAGCAGGCGTAATATTGTATATAGGTGACACATTTTGTAGCGACAGCTGTCTTCTTCTGCCTCTCGCTTTTGAACTTCTGTTACGAGCACGGCCGCGAGTTACTTGAATAGTTTCTATTGTGTCAGATGAATCTGACTCATCATGATCATCACATTTCATAGTAAAAGCAGGATTTTCCATGTCGCTATCACTGTGGATAAAATCTTCGCCTTCTGATTCAGCTAAATATTGAACAACTTTGTCGTCTGGGATTACTGTAAAAAATTACGTTTCCATGTAGTCAAGTGAAAACAAACAAAAGAGACTTAATGTTAATTAACACAAGTTAAGTAAATAAAAATATATAACGTAAGTTTGAAGCGATTAAAGGTTATTTTATTTTCTATTTAACCTACTATAATAATATTAAACTACATCATTTTAATAAGTACCTATTTCTCGCGATTTGGGTGTATGTCCGTGTGTTCTACGTATGATCCATCCTATAGATGTGCCAACTCGGATTTTAGAAACCCGAGTTAACATGAGTTAAAATCATGGCAACCAGAGTTCAACCCGAGTTAACTTAATCGAGTTAGCATGATAAGTGAAATACATATGTTCTTTTTCAAGTTTTTGACATGTTTTGTCTATTGATTACTTAAGTGAGTCTTTTTCAATATAATAAGTAATTGAAAATTGTTATTATTATTACATTGTATTTTTTTATGTACAGTGTATTAGCTATAAATAGAGCAGTAAAAAAAACAATAAAAATAGCTTAGCATTTGGCTTAGGCAAATTCAAATAATATTTTGATAAATTTACAACTATTAAAATGAAAAAATAACAAATAACGATATTAATATTAAAATATGAATTAAAAAGTCTTTGAAAGTAATAAAACAAAATGTAGGTAGATAGCGATACTACTAGATGTAGGGTCTACGCCCGGGTCTGTCCTTAGGTACGTTTAAATATGTAGTTAAAAATAGTTATTGCGAGTGTACTTTAGGAAAAAGACATTATGCTCTTGCGGCTTTTTTAAAGACCTACAATTTTCTAGTACCTTGTTTTTATGTTTAGCTAGCTAGTATTAGGCTTGTATATTTCTATGGATGACTCGGTAGAACCAGTTATTGTATTTTTCCATGGGAATGAAAGATTTTCCTGTAGTAAAAGGTAACGAACGACCCGAGTAATTAGTTATCACTACACAAAATTTTGTACTACATATTAAGGAAAAGTATTTGTTTAATTTTTAACCGACTTCAAAAAGGAGGAGGTTCTCAATTCGACTGTATTTTTTTTTATGTTTGTTACCTCAGAACTTCGTCATTTATTAACCGATTTGGACAATTTTTGTTTCGTTTGAAAGGGTATACTTCCAGATTGGTCCCATTTAAATTTCAAAAAAAAAAATTCCACCCCTAAGGGTGGAAAAATAGCTAATAATGAATTTAACCTACTTCTAATTGTCATATTGACTTGAAACTTTGCAAGTGTTTCTATTTCCGTTGATAGTACAGTGGTTCGGTATTGTTGACCTGATCTGATGGTAAGGCCAGAAGGTGGATAGGTGGAACTCTTCAACGACTAATAGTAGATACTTTGAGTTTGGGCTTATTTTGTAACCTAACACTTTAGAATTCTTACTTTGCTACTACTGTCTACACTAAAAAGGGAAAAATAAAAACTTTTTAACAAAAAAATAAAAACCGACTTAAAACAAAAGCACTAAAAAGTAAAAAATAACTGATTGGTAGTTTTCATTTACTATACATACCTAATCAAATATTTTCGAAGTCGGTGTGCTTTGCTTTATATGGGCTGGCACCGATTTCGAAAATATTTGATTAGGTAGGTATGTATTTAATAGGTAGGCTTTAATTACTTAGCCAAAGTTTTTTATTCTTTTAACGTTGTATAACATTTATGTTTTAGAAAAAAGCCTCTCTGAGGGAATAGACGTTGCATTTATAAACATTTGAGTGCAAATAATTGCATAATTATACATCGCTGGAAATAATCGTTTTTATTCCGCTCAAAAAACAATTTAACTTTTTAAAAAGAATTATTATATTTAAAACAACTCTTAATTTAATAAAAATGCTAACAAAACTTTTTTGGAGATTCGCTACTGAAATTTTTAAGGTCACTTCGTTCGCGCGCAAAGATTCGTACGCATCCGGGTAAATTCGGCTTGTCTCGGAAAGTAAACTTCATTTTGTGTGTAAAATGTGAAGCGAAGTTTCAAAAGGAACAAGGTACATGTCTCGTTCCGGTGTCGGTGTCTAACCCGACTTATAATTGGTCGAACTCGGGTTGACTCGACGTGACGCTATCTCACAACTAAAAATGTATCGTCATAAACTATAACAATAGCCATATATCACTTTCCGTGATAACACAATTAAAGAATTACCCCCATTTCATTTAAACAAGAAAAAAATATACCTCTTAATTCTGAGTTTATCTAACTATAGTATAAAATATGTATTTATTTTTATACATGTACTTATGTATACTTTATACATAGAATATTCTGTACCTCCATCTTAAAAATTAAATAAATAAAAATAAAGTATCTACTAACTCAAAGCTTATACCATTTTTGAGTAAAAGTAAATAATAGAAAAAAAAAGAAAATAAAAAAATGCCTAGGTACTGTTTATTATTTGAAAGAACATCCATTCAATCCATACTAATATTGTAAATGTGAAAGTGTGTTTGTTTGTTTGTCTTTCTTTCACGTCGAAACAGAGTGACCGATTGGCGTTATTTTTGGAGATAGTTGAAGAGCTGGAGTGACATAGGCTATTTTTTACCGCGGGAGATTATCTCATTCCCACGGGAAAACACGTTATAAAAGAACCCATAAAATTATATATGATCAGATCACTTAAAACTGGATATGAATGCTCTTCAATACAATTAAATAAATACGTGTTTTAGAATTTTTCGAAATCCATGCCATAAGAGGATAAAATAGGGGATGTAAGTTCATACAAATGAAACCTACCTTTTTAATTCTTTTCTTGTAATTTTAGCGCGAGCGAAGCCGCGGGTTCTGCTAGTTTTAAATAAATCCCAGATTCAGATTTTACATAATGAGGAGGATCGTGATTATGGCTACAATTTGTATTATCTTTTATCACTACTGTATCTTTAACAAGCTTCAGTCTGGCTTTGCATCCTGCAAACTTCTTGGAACAGTAATAATTATTTGTTTTACAGTGTTTGGCGTAAGTGTAATACTGGAACACTAACAACTTAGCTCTATTTGTTCTTATAAAGTAAAAGTCTGACGATTCTGAAATTAATAAAAAATGGACATGAAATTTAGGTCACTATGATCTGTCTATCTACTACACACAACACCACACAAGGAAAGATTTGATAATAAAAAACGTCTAAATTTATTTACATATATTTACATTCAAAGCACTACACTTCAAATTACAAATAGGAATAACTATCACAATTGCAAATATTTCAGAATACTACTTGCACAAAGTATAGACCTACAATCATATACAGTATTATAGAAAACAAATAATAATTACATTAATATGTAAATAAATAACATGTACCAATAATATATACTTAATTATCATTTTAATATTTTTAAATATATTTTTTTTTTATTTTACACCGATATCAAAGATTGTGACAGTATAATAATCCCTTTTAACAACTAGTTACTCGTCATTTTCTCAAACTTCCAGCACCAATGAAATTAAATGAAAATTAATTTTTATTCAATTAGACTTATACAAGCACGTTTGAATTGTTTTCCAGTCTTAACATAGATATTGTGTAAGTAATACATTATCGAGGCTTTGTCGCATAAATGTTAGTCGTGAAAATTACAATATTTAAGTAATAATTTATTGTATAAAGTACTTAAATTCAAAAATAAGAATTCGAAGAAGTTTTTTAGCGTTCTATAATGAAAAATGATTTATTAATAAAAGAGTTTTTTTTTAATACATTAAGTCCGTTATTGGGACATCCTTTTAAGTAAATATATACCTGTGCCAGGATGTCCCGCTTATCCGTAGAAAAATTCTTAAAAATTTTACAACTTTAACAACTCAATAATATATACATATGAAATTATTAATTTTACCTTTTTAAATGACTATTTAACTATGCATTTAAAACATTTTTAAATATTTTTCTTTTCGTGATTAAAAAAAAACTGACATTTACGGTTTACCCATGCTCTTGGTTGCTTAAAATTAAACAAGTAGGTGTAATAATTTATCGCAATATACGAGTATGCTTTCACAATATACTAAAGTGACTTCTTTACCATTACATATTTACCTTACGAAGATATTTTCATATATAATCCATTTGAACTTTGTATATATCTTGGTGGGGGATGATAGTGTATTAAATTTCTCATATCTTTTATGAATATCCCATTATCCCTTAGCGTCACCCGCGCTTTACAGCCTTGAGTTCTTTTTGAACAGTAATAATTTTGAGATTTGTTGTCTTTAGCGTAAGTATAATTATTGAACATCAATAAAATTGCTCTTTTTGTCCTGATTAATTTATAATCCGAAACAAAATCTGAAATGAGATTTGACGTACATTATCTATAGATCTTATAGAATAAAAAAAATAATAGAAAAAGTTATTATTTTATGTTATTAAGCAGTTCAATTAATATCATACATACATATTTTAAATAAAATAAATAATTTTTTAATTTATATTTTTTAGTAAAAAATTAACTTGGCAGGTGTTATGTTTTATTTTTATATATACTTACTTAATATAAAATTTATTTGAATAAATTACTAACCTTTAATTATATATCAAAGCATTATTATTTCTTCATAATATTCTCATTTTAATTTTTTATTATCTACTAGCAGAACCCGCGGCTTCGCTCGCGTTATAACTACAAAAAATGTCTAAAAAGGTAGTTACCTAGGTTTACAACAACAAACTTTCATCCCTTATTTATTTTACCCCCTTATAGAATGAATTTCGAAAAATGCTAAAACACGTATTTATTTACTTGTATTGAAGAGCATTAATACCAAGTTTCCAGTAATTTTGATCAGAAATATATTTTTAGATTGTATTAAGTATAACATATTTTTTCGAGGGAATGAGATAATCTCCCGCGATAAATAGTAGCCTATGTCACTCTCCAGCTCTCCAACTATCTTCACACCAAAATCAAGTCAATCCGTCACTCCGTTTTGACATGAAAGAAAGACAAACAAACACGCAAACAAACACACTTTCACATTTATAATATTAGTATGGATTTATAATCATATCATTAACGAACATGTATGTATGTATGTACTTACAGCCTTTGGCTATACATAGTTGCTTTTCATTTTAAATTTAACTAAGTAAATAATATTTTACTATTTCTATTTTATATACTTACTATTATTATCTGAATTATATAGAAACTAATATAATTTAAATATTTTTCAAACTAAGTAAAAATTAAAAAAAAAGGATAAATAAAATGTTGGAATTTTAAGTTTTAATGAATTTATTACTACGAA